GGACCACATAGCCAAGCGGCCTGGACCAATCTGTAATCTGGAGGGAAAGAGGAACTGGATTTGTTAACCAAAGGATGTTCCATGAAAAGAATTTGTGAATAAAATGACCAGATATTAGGGGAGCACCTATGGCAGATTTCTGGATCACCAATTTACGACCTTCATATTTTGGTCAATATCGATGTTTTTCTTAAAAATAACTGACACTATCTGTTATATAAGCCAAGAGAAATCGTGTCCCTCTGATACTTTTTCACGGTGGTTTTCTCAAGAAAATGAATTAATTTTGTCATTATCTTAAGATAACAAAAGTTGTTTTGTCGTCATAACGAGATGATTGGTGTGTGTTAAAACCGATTACATCCTTCAATACCACAACAGTGAGAGTGGATTTATAAGTCATGGCAGCCTATGTGTAATTCTGTAAATAATCCTTTGTTTAAATTTTAGGTACCAAGACGACGTTGTTGGTTTGATGATTTGCTTCCACTTCTGATTGATAAGTTTAGACCTATGCCTCCGATGCCTAAGCGTCGGAAATGTTTTCTGAACAGCCCCAGTGTTACGCCTCTAACAGGTATAAGATCTATTAACCCCCGAAATGAGTCCAGATTAAAGATTTTCATTAGAAAAACAGTCAGATTTGTTTCTGCTGTATTCCATGCAATACAATCATCCACCACGACCTGACAATGAGTGAAAAGAAAAAGTAAACTAAAAAACGCATTATTTGCAAGCACAAGTACGAGCACCACAGGCATGGATGGACTGGGAATTCAGGGCTGTTTGCCAGCCTCGTTCATTACTCATACAAGTTAAGCATCTCGTTATCTCAAGAAATCAATAACCGTTTTCTCATGATTATGACATAATTATCCATCCTGCTGCCCTCTGGTAAGAGACTTTGCAGCATCTGATGCAAGTCCAGCAGATTGCAGAACAGTTTCTTCCCCACTGCTATTAGACTGCTGAATGTTATGTAAAATGGGTTATTAAAAAAAAAAAAAAAACACTGAATGTTAGAACTGTACCTATACCGACATATGTTTAAATTACTTTTTTATTACAATGTTCAAACTAATGCACTTCAAAAAATGAATTAGGCTAGAGAGCTGTTAATAAAAAAATATATATTATTGTTTACACTTGTTTATACAAAATGACAAAAAGAAATCTGTCTAAGTCTCTCCAAGTCTATTTATCTCAAGAAAACAATTAATTGTTTAACCATGATAACGAGATAGTTATGTGGTTATATAGAGAAGTCAAAGGGGGAAAAAAAGTTGAGTATGACCGCTCTCTGCTTCCATGGTTATAAGATAAGAAACCTTCACTATTTCAGTATTATCTTACTGAAAGACAATCAGAATCAGTGAAACAATAAGAGCTTCTCAAATGTCTACTCTCAAATATAAATGAGCATTTAGTAGGTGACAGTGAGTGATTTTCAGATGAGAGGTAGAGGCGGAAGTATTCAAGGCCGATTAATCAGCTGACCGGTCCACCCGTGCAAACCTACCAGATACACTACAAAAGATGGAAATCTAAATAAGTCATTTTTGCTCAAATTAAGTGTAATTTTTCTTGAATTGAGGAGGTAAGTGAGATACTTTGCCAATAGAACAAGACTATTTACATTTAAAATAAGAAAATAACAATTGCTTTGTCTTATTTCAAGTGTATATTATCTAATTATCTTATTTTAGGAGTAAAAATACTCATTCCATTGGCGAATCATCTTATTTACCTGCTCAAATTAAGGGTAAATACACTTAATTTAAGACATTTTTTTACTTATTTCTAGATGTTTTTGCAGTGTATTGTGAACATCCTATACAGGTGCTGGTCATAAAATTAGAATATCATGAAAAAGTAGATTGATTTCAGTAATTCCATTTAAAAAGTGAAACTTGTATATTATATTCATACATTACATACAAACTCATATATTTCAGATGTTTATTTTGTTTAATTTTGATGATTACAAATGACAACAAATGAAAATCTCAAATTCATCATATCAGAAAATTAGAATATTACTGAAGACCAATAAAAACAAAGGATTTATAGAAATGTTGGCCAACTGAAAAGTATGAACATGAAAAGTATGAGCATGTACAGCACTCAGTATTTAGTTGGGCCTCCTTTGGCCTGTATTACTGCAGCAATGCGGCGTGGCATGGAGTCGATCAGTCTATGGCACTGCTCAGGTGTTATGATAGCCCAGGTTGCTCTAATAGTGGCTTTTAGCTCTTCTGAATTGTTGGGTCTGGTGTATTGCATCTTCTTCTTCACAATACCCCATAGATTTTCTATGGGGTTAAGGTCAGGAGAGTTTGCTGGCCAATTAAGAACAGGGATACCATGGTCCTTCAACCAGGTACTGGTAGCTTTGGCACTGTGTGCAGGTGCCAAGTCCTGTTGGAAAATGAAATCTGCATCTCCAAAAAGTTGGTCAGCTGCAGGAAGCATGAAGTGCTCTAAAACTTCCTGGTATGTGGCTGCGTTGACCCTGGACCTCAGAAAACACAATGGACCAACACCAGCAGATGACATGGCACCCCAAACCATCACTGACTGTGGAAACTTTACACTGGACTTCAAGCAACGTGGATGAAGTGCCTCTCTTCTTTTCCTCCAGACTCTGGGACCTTGATTTCCAAAGGAAATGCAAAATTTACTTTCATCAGAGAACATGACTTTGGACCACTCACCAGCAGTCCAGTCCTGTTTCTCTTTAGCCCAGGCAAGACGCTTCTGACGCTGTCTGTGGTTCAAGAGTGGCTTGACACAAGGAATGCGACAGCAGAAACCCATGTCTTTCATACGTCTGTGTGTGGTGGTTCTTGAAGTACTCACTCCAGCTGCAGTCCACTCTTTGTGAATCTCCCCCACATTTTTGAATGGGTTTTGTTTCACAATCCTCTCCAGGGTGCGGTTATCTCTCTTGCTTGTACACTTTTTTTATATATTGTGAAAAGGTTCAAAATTGATGGCCCCTGGTGCCACACTCTAATCAGCTAATTAACTCAAACCACCTGCAAAAGCCTTTAAATTGTCTTTCAGTCTAGTTCTATAGGCTACACAATCATGGGGAAGACTGCTGACTTGACAGTTGTCCAAAAGACGACCATCGACACCTTGCACAAGGAGGGCAAGACACAAAAGGTCATCGCTAAAGAGGCTGGCTGTTCACAGAGCTCAGTGTCCAAGCACATTAATAGAGAGGCGAAGGGAAGGAAAAGATGTGGTCGAAAAAAGTGTACAAGCAAGAGAGATAACCGCACCCTGGAGAGGATTGTGAAACAAAACCCATTCAAAAATGTGGGGGAGATTCACAAAGAGTGGACTGCAGCTGGAGTGAGTACTTCAAGAACCACCACACACAGACGTATGAAAGACATGGGTTTCTGCTGTCGCATTCCTTGTGTCAAGCCACTCTTGAACCACAGACAGCGTCAGAAGCGTCTTGCCTGGGCTAAAGAGAAACAGGACTGGACTGCTGGTGAGTGGTCCAAAGTCATGTTCTCTGATGAAAGTAAATTTTGCATTTCCTTTGGAAATCAAGGTCCCAGAGTCTGGAGGAAAAGAAGAGAGGTGCCATGTCATCTGCTGGTGTTGGTCCATTGTGTTTTCTGAGGTCCAGGGTCAACGCAGCCACATACCAGGAAGTTTTAGAGCACTTCATGCTTCCTGCAGCTGACCAACTTTTTGGAGATGCAGATTTCATTTTCCAACAGGACTTGGCACCTGCACACAGTGCCAAAGCTACCAGTACCTGGTTGAAGGACCATGGTATCCCTGTTCTTAATTGGCCAGCAAACTCTCCTGACCTTAACCCCATAGAAAATCTATGGGGTATTGTGAAGAAGAAGATGCAATACACCAGACCCAACAATTCAGAAGAGCTAAAAGCCACTATTAGAGCAACCTGGGCTATCATAACACCTGAGCAGTGCCATAGACTGATCGACTCCATGCCACGCCGCATTGCTGCAGTAATACAGGCCAAAGGAGGCCCAACTAAATACTGAGTGCTGTACATGCTCATACTTTTCATGTTCATACTTTTCAGTTGGCCAACATTTCTATAAATCCTTTGTTTTTATTGGTCTTCAGTAATATTCTAATTTTCTGATATGATGAATTTGAGATTTTCATTCGTTGTCATTTGTAATCATCAAAATTAAACAAAATAAACATCTGAAATATATGAGTTTGTATGTAATGTATGAATATAATATACAAGTTTCACTTTTTAAATGGAATTACTGAAATCAATCTACTTTTTCATGATATTCTAATTTTATGACCAGCACCTGTATATACACACACATATATGACTGGCAAGCAAAAACGTGACTGTTAGGTTAATTGGCTTCTCTAAATTGTCCTTAGATGTGAATGGCGGGCCAATCACAGAGATGTGTTTTGAATTTCTGGATGCAAAGTGGGCGGGGTTTTGAGGGCGGGACGTCAGAGCTGCGCAGCGCTGGAGAACAACTATTGAACATTTCCCATTTGACTCAGCTTTAGAATCAGTTTTGGAAGGTTTAGACTTGGGGGTTTTTTTGAAACGTGAGCAGGAAGAGGCTCTACGCTCATTAATTTTTAAGAAGGACGTATTCGCCGTTTTACCAACAGGCTGTTTGTTTAAAGATGCCCACCAGCTTTCTGTCACGCTTACTACGTCACAGTCAGCTGCCCTCATTGGTCAAGCGTTGGCCAATAGGCACAGACATGGTTTGAAACACAACAGGTTGGTGTCATCAACAATCTAAATTACACATTTAATCTCACATTTAGTCTGGTTTATCAGGCTACAATATGTGATCTTTGCTCGGACTCGTATTTAGTTTAGGATCCTGTTTTATTGAACTGCTGTTTGTTATTTCCTGGTGACCTTGATGACGGCTACAATTGTAGCATACTAGAGTTCACTTATTAACACATTTTTATAACTGGTTGACCAAAAAGTGCAGATTTTGTGGCATATGTACCTTAGATGAAGGTCCTCAGAATATTTTAGGCAAGCATAGATGAACTCTTTCAGTTGGCAGTAGGCTTTGGGTACAAACTCAGAGAAGGGAAGCTTCTTAGGGAAAGGAAGCTAAGGACAAAGAAGAATTTGAGTTTAGCTCCAAGGTTTTTATGGCGTGGATTTTGGCTTTACTTTGTTTGTGGTTTCCTACCTTTTCCAATTCAGGGTCTTGCTGGGGAAATTGGGAGGTGTAATGTCTGTATTCCTGTTCTGTTGAAACCGGAATTGGACTGAAGTTGTCCTGGTCCAGAATCTGCCTAGAGAAAACAAACAGAAATCCCAGGTTAATATTTTAAAGTCTCCTCTAAAGATGCTATGAGAGACAAAAACACCATCAGTCGTCTGTCCCTCTCTCTTTTGCTTTCTTAGAAACAACCAATATGTCCCACAGGGGGTCATTCTGATGCTTAAGGTTTTCTTACCACCCTCCCTCCAGTCAACACCCCCACTTCTTTTTTTGGCGCTCCGATACTCGGACGTTCCAGCGTTCCATGGAGAGGCCGTGAACCGGAGAGGGCTCTCTCCCCAACAATACAACACAACATTCCTGTGGCTTCCCAAGTGCTTGTGTGTGAACGAGTAAGAGAGGAAGGAGAGAGGGAATGTGTGTTTGTTTGTCCGCTCTCGCTGCTCTGATTCCCAGTGGTGTCACGGGACAAAAGGGATGGCGAAACAATGGCACGTCGAGCCCGAACACACACAGAGTTCTAAAAGGGTACTACCCATTCTGTTACGGATGTGTTTTAAAACACTTCCTCTCTCCGGCTGCTTGTAAAACTTCAAACCCAGGCTGCGGCCGATCTTAAAAACACACCCAGATGTCTTAAAATGTTTGAAAGGCCTCCTGACCTTGTGATAACCAAAGCACAGAAGTCCAGGTTCATACTGATCCCTACCTGAAGGTGATGTTCCATCTCTTCAGCAGGATCTCTCCATACTGCTCCCTTATTTCCAGCAGCATGTCAAACAGCTGGGACACGGGGAAACCGTAACCCTGCATATCAGGATGGGACAATTATGAGAAAAACATGCACATGATATGGCAACAAATCAAATCCACTGAACCAAACCAAAAATTTGATATTTTTAGCCATGTTTTACTGAAACGCTGTTCGTCCAAAATCTCTATTGGTTTTTTTCTTTCATTAAAAGAAGATTTTCTAAAAGCAGTACTGAGATCAAGATGAGACTACTTGAGTCTATCAATGAGAAGAGCTCAAAGCAGTTCAGAATAGGAGTCACCATTCAAACACCCACACATAATTACGGATTCTCGCTTGCAACAAAACAATGGAATCGAATATGTTTATGTTTTTACTGCTTCTAAACATAGACGTACTGAGATATTGAGGTTTATTTGACATTGAAATCAATGAAAACATTGTTTTTGGGGTGACAATGAAGTCAGATGCAGGTGTTTGCTATTACCCATCCCTGTCATTCAATTCAATTATGACATTTATACAGATATATTCCAAGAAATAAGGGAGTGTTTAGAGTCATTGTTAAGTTTTTTTTAATTTATAGTTTTTTGGCTAACAACTAAAGAAATGTACATTATATAAGACCACTTAAAGAAACAAACAAACCCTTTTTGACAAAGAAAAGCTATATTATAAGCAACACAGCCATGGGGCAGATTGTAAAGTCATTTCTGAACAGCTTTTCGCGTGTTCTTTCACAGTAAATTTTAGCTCCCTTCACATACTATCTGTCAAACTTAAGTCAGTGACCTGATTGAGTCACACTAAAACATTAACCTTTCCTTCAGTCAGACAAGATAAAGTTACTTTAAATCTCTCTGGTTCTATACATCTTTTGGGATAAGGTGTATTTACAGTAGCTCAAAAGGGACATTAAACACAAATATAGTTCTGTTTTTCATTTTCTGCTTCCACTCAACTTTCCGTTAAAATGCTTGGACACAGTGTGAAAAGTCAGGTCTTTAGCAACAACCTTTAGATTTTTATCTGCCTCTTTATGGCCAAAATAGATCATCATGCTCATTTCAACATAGCAACTCTAATCAAATTTAATTTATTCCTGCATATTTGGTTTCATATTTTCCATCTCTCAGAAATAATCTGTCTAAAAAAAAAAAAAAAAAAAATCACAATGAACTTTAAAGCTGAGGAAGAAAAGATTAATAATAGTATTGAATTGTCCAGTTTTTAACTGAAAGGTCAAGCCTGAAATGGAGAAGAGCAGTCATGAAAAGCAGCCGTTCCTCGAATAGGGGACAAAAGCCAATAAAAACATGAGCGCATCGATTCATCTGCTCTTCATCACTTCGCATCAGACTGGTGGGCATCAGACCACCCATTCATTAGCTTCCCTTCTTTCATCTGAGCCCTTCTCCTCGCCAGCTTTCACCCACACCCCCCTACCATCTCTCCATCCATCACACTAAATCTATTGACTGTTCATAAACAGTGAAGGATAAAAACTCTCAGATGATGAACTCTCGTTTCTAACACAGTTCGGTTATTAGAGAAAAAGTCTGCTTTCGGAACTGGCAGCTGTCCACTTGGATACAAACTGAATACAGATAAAACAAACTTCAGAAAAAGATTCATGGGCTTCTGGGCTTGTATTTAACATCTGAACATGAAATACCAAGAGACTTGGACACAGAGCTGGATAATAAATGGAAATAATACATTTCTCATATTTAATTAGAAACTAACAATATATATATATATATCTGGATACATACCTGCAGAGTATCAGCAAACAGAACAATGAGGTTCTTCAGATCCAGCACCAGGTCAGGATCATCACAGTACGACTGTAGAGACAAATCAAAAACGTTCTTAGTAGAACAGGTAACCCAACCCTTAGATGCTAAAGGAACACTTTGGCCAAAACCTTGTAATCACAGGATGATTAAAACATTGGTCAAAAATTTTACTTCAGATTTATTCAAATAAACACGTTTTTTTTTTAATAAGTGAATCTAAGTGTATGAGTCCAATAAGCAAGTCCCCAGCTCAGTTTTTATTTACACATGCTACAGTTAACAGGAGAGAAGATGAGATAAAAGTGGATGTTTGTGTTTCATGGGGACATAAGCCCCATTTACACTACCCTTTTGAAACCATGCCAATATCGGTCCGAGCACAGTAACAGCGATAACTATTGAGTGTAAATGGCACGCAAAAATGAACCGGACCACGCCAGACGCAACCAAACCAAGCTAAACTGGTACTAGTTCATCAGTACGGCTCGGCGCGGTTCAGTTCTGGCTCGATTCTAAGATAGAGAGAGCATGAGCAGGATGCGTCACCTCTCATTCATAAAAATACAAGCTTCCCTACCGTGCCACACCATTTCTAGTGATGATTCTGCTTAGCAGTGTGATGAACCTCAACATCTCTTGTTGTTTCCTGCTTGGACTATCGTTTTTCGTATCCACTGCCCAAAAGCAGACTCTGTCAACTAAATTTACCAAAGGCTGCCTTCTTTGCCTGACTCTCTGCAAACTTCCTGAATGTTACGGGCGCAGCCATGTTTATTAGCTTTTTTACTTCTAGAGAGCAGTGGTACCGTAGATCGTCACTAGGAGGTAAGGAACCACGCTAGTGTGTTGTGTAAATGGACGTAAGTAACCGAGCTCGGTGCTGTTTCAGACGGTAGTGTAAATGGGGCTAAAGAAGGATGTCAATTTAATTTTCTCTACCAATATAAATGTTTGTTTTTTTACCACCTCAAACATTTCCCATGAGTTTCAGCCTTCCAGCTTGCTAGGCGGTCTGCAACCTGCGGCTCCAGAAACACATACCGCTATACGGACTCCCTGCAATGGCTCTTAATAGTGGTTAAAGTGACGTAAAGAAATAATTAATGTACTACTAGAGCAAATACCAGTCTTGGAAGCTTAGGTTGGTTAAAAAGAATTTTTGAATTGAGTTTTTTTTACAACAGAATAAGATAAAAAATGCTTTTAGAGCCATTTTATTTTGAATTAGCTTATGTGTTTTATTATTATAATTTTGTTTACATCAAATAACATCCTATATAAGACAAAACCATGATTCATCTTTATGCATTATTTTGTTTTTACTTGTTTTAAAAGCTAAAAATACAAATAAACTGTTGGTTGTTTAAGATTGCAACAGATTTCCTACAGCCGATATTTAATAAAAAATATTAGCCTGAGTCATGTAATAGTCTGCAGCCCTGAACAATGTTTACTAACCCTGACTCAAGGTAAAATGGTACATTGGATATGAAAGGTTGGAGACCGCTGGGCTGGCTGAACAGCAGAGAGCAGCTACACAACACAAACAACAGGTAGACGGATACATCTGTTTTTTTCGTTATGCATAGGTCGCTATTCATTTATTCTTTGTTTGATTTAGTAATACTTCTTTTTTGGACTTTTAAAACATCTGTTATTTGTAATATGCAAGTAGGGGGGAAGAAGCAATATTAGTTTCAAGAAGCAGCTCAAAAAAAATAAATAAATGGTTCATTTCAGGGAATGGTTAGACTTAGGTCAGAATCACCAGAATCTCAGGATAAAAAAAAACCCGTCATTGGCTGATCTAAAACATAAACTAAGGAAAATTGTATGACACATTTCAAAATAGTATTCAATCGTCCATGAATAGTTATTAAACTCATGGGTTGTAGTTACTTCCATGGCCATAGCAACATCTAGGTAAGTAGATAAATACAGGAAAAGCAAACCTTTGACCTTCATGTGTTCTTCAGATTAGCTAAAAGGCAGGCCGTAGAAAGCAGCTACATCCCTGCCTCAACTCTGAGGCTGTGCAGAGAGGAACTCTCAGGTGAAGAACCATAACTAAGTTTGGGTTTGGCAGTTGTCAGGAGAAGAAAAAAGGTTTGCTCGCCTGTGTTGTGTCAAATGCAAAGTTTGGCTCAGAAAGTGTAATGATGGTGGAACAGTTTTTAAAAGTTGTTGTGCTCAGCCCATTTCTTAAAAAACTCTCTCCTGGATGGTTTCAAGCCCAGAGCGTGAAATCAGGTGAATTTTATGCTCCTGGTTTCATGGGAACATTTTGGGATTGGCCTCCACCTGCACCAACATGACTATGAACTACTGCAGCGGGGCAAAGTCCATGACAGGCTTCGGTGTGAAAGAACACGACTTGTCTGTAAAGAATCCCTCTCTGAACCTGACTGAACACCTTTGGCAGGAATCAGTCGGGTGACTGGGGGACTGGTTTCCTTTTCCAAAATCAGTGTTAGACCTCACAAAGCTACTTCTGGGAGAACCATAAAAAAAAATCCCAGAAACACTCGAACCGCGTAGATGGGCATAAGCTCCAAAGGTTGACCTGATGATGGATTTAATCGTAAGGTTTAATAGTGGCATGGCTGTTCATTTCTGTAAAAAGAGAGGGGCGAATACGTTTAGCTCTAAAATTTAAGCCAGGGGTCACCAAAATGGTGTCTGTGGGTACCAAGGGGCCCTCAGGGGCCTCATGGGGTGCCCACAGCATCTTCTGAAAACATCCTTTTCATCCTTCCTACCTCCCTTCTTTTCTTTCATTCTGTCCCTCCTTCCTTCCATCCTACCTTCTTTCCTTCCTTCCCTACCTCCAAATAAAAGTATGTTTATTAGTGTGTAGTTAAGGTGAACGTTGTTCCCTCCCTCCCTCCATCCTCCATTTCTCCAAAATCTTCCTTCCTTCCTTCCTTCCTTCCCTCCTCCTCCCCTTCCTTCCTTCGTTCCTTCCTCCTCCTCCTTCCTTCCCTTCCTTCCTCCCTTCATTCTTTGCTCCTTCCCTTCCTTCCTTCCTTCATTCCTTCATTCTTTCCTCCTTCCCTTCCTTCATTCTTTCGTCCTTCCCTTCCTTCCTTCCTCCTTCCCTTCCTTCCTTCCTTCATTCTTTCCTCCTTCCCTTCCTTCCTTCCTTCCTCCTTCCCTTCCTTCCTTCTTTCCTTCCTTCCTTCCTTCCTTCCTTCCTTCTTTCCTCCTTCCCTTCCTTCCTTCCTTCATTCTTTCCTCCTTCCCTTCCTTCCTTCCTTCATTCTTTCCTCCTTCCCTTCCTTCCTTCCTTCATTCTTTCCTCCTTCCCTTCCTTCATTCTTTCCTCCTTCCCTTCCTTCATTCTTTCCTCCTTCCCTTCCTTCATTCTTTCCTCCTTCCCTTCCTTCATTCTTTCCTCCTTCCCTTCCTTCATTCTTTCCTTCCTTCCTTCCTTCCTTCCTTCATCATTCTTTCCTTCCTTCCTTCCTTCCTTCTTTCCTCCTCCTTTCCTTCCTTCCTTCTTTCCTCCTCCTTTCCTTCCTTCCTTCTTTCCTCCTCCTTTCCTTCCTCCCTCCCAATAAAAATATGTTTATTAGTATAAAGTTAAGGTGAATGCTGATCCCTCCAGTTCATAGGTCATTATTGGTACTTCTTCCTATGACTCAGTACTCATGAAGTAGCTCTTAAAAAGGTTGGTGACCCCTGGTCTAAGCTGACAGCACAATCAACTTTGGTTATCACCACCTTAGAGTAAACAGTGGGGATAATCGGTGAAATGGAGTTGGATGATTGATGATAGTTATGTTAGAACATCTTACAGAGTGCGTCCTCAGGGCAGCAACAATTTTGGACAAGGCCAACTCCCAAAGCTCCTCCACGTAGGCTCTGTTCACCAATCCCTGTGTGGTGTGAAGGACGTGGTCCTCGACAACAAAGAAGCTGGACAGAAGGAGAGCAACACCAAGACTTCATTAAAACACCACATACTCAGTATCTTGTGAAGAATAAAATAGGGAATGATGATGGTACAAAAAGCTTCTATAGAAACTACCAATGACTTTCAATGACACTCATGCAGCTTTTGTACATTTCCACAGCAGCAGCAGAGATGACTCGGAGCAAACAGTTCCTCCATCCAGCCAGGCGTCTAAAGCCTCCGCCGTCCAAGTGTCACACTCGTCGATCACACACTGCGGTATTTTCCTGACATGATGCCTGACCGAACGGATCAAATCGTCCGCAAAGTGATTTTGGTTTCTGTCCGCTGACAGAACGTCTCAATCAAAGCGGTGCCCGCTCAGACTTGCCAGACCACAAAGAGCTGCAGTGAGGTCCATGGCTAGTTCTCTCTGCACATTACACACTGCTGCAAGTAGATGCCCACTTTTTGACTGATTTCAAACATTTTCTAACATTTAGATTTTGGTAGAAACTTTGGAAAACTTAACAGTACTAAACCTCAGATATTTCCAGAGGATTTATTACAGTATCTTGATCTCTCACTTGCAGATTATAAATTAGCCTTAGCACATTACCTCCCACTCAACTCAGAAGAGAAAAGACGAACCTCAAATCACCGGGCACTTCATGTGCCGATCTGCTTTAGCCTGTTTTGTTCAAAGGACATCGTTCTATAGGTTCATTCATTGGGAATCTCAAAAAGCAAGACTCATACTGCTGTTTTCTTTCAACAGTGAGAAGTATTTACTCTTGTGTTAAACTTAAACATTCAACACATCAGCTGAGGACTAGAGAGTCTGAGAATCCCTTATTTACACATATTTATTAATCCCTTACACATATTTATTGTAGGAGGAGACAAGCATAAATAAAAGGTAGGGAGTGGAGAAAATGGGTAAGGCTATGAATAGAAAAGTATTGATAAAACAACATCAACAGACCCGACTGAAGAAGTGAAGAAAAAGACGTGGAGGGGCAGGTACAAAGAATAGCTGAAGTTATAGACGAGCAGACAGATAGGGTACGGGTTTGTTTAAAAACAGGCAGCTTCTTCTTCTCCTACTAAAGCATTTCATTAAAATAAGACAGTTCTACACATCCTCAATTGATTCATTCACATCCTCCTGATTTAAACCGATCAGAACCTTTGTACACGGACACAAACGTCATGATCGGATCATTTTATTTAGTGTCCATGTGAATAAGGGATTTTAAATTTCCGATCAGCCAAGGTTTAGATCGGATCGAGGACATTTTCAGCATGCTAATAATCAGAAAAGATGTCAAACGTATAACTGATATTTGAATGAAAGGCTTCCTACTCCTAAATGTCATGAAACCGGTGACAACGCACACAGGATACCAGTTCTGGCTGAATGTATATCTAGATGATATCAGGAACTTTAAAATGTCATGTCACTTGGACATATTGAGTACTTGAAGCTCTACACTTATAATAGTTTATTTAAGGAAGTGATAAAAACGGCAGAGCTTACTGATAAAGAGTGGACTTACCCAACAATCTGATTGAAGTACCGTCTGTATCCCTCCAGGGTTTCATGCTAGAGAAGGGTAGAAAAAAAGGAAACAGAAGATGGCAGGAGAGGAGAGGACAATTACAACAAAAATGAAAATGACCAAAATAAAAGCGTTGACCAGGTACGATCCAAAATCTGCTTAAAACATCTTCGCAGAGTGCAAATTGCAAGAAGAAAGCATGTTTATGATGTCTTATACTGTGCTGTACTGTAAAACTGCAAATAACTTTATTCTGGAAACTTCAATGTTTCTGTGACAGCACCAAACGGGGCTCCCACAAGTTTTGTTTTAAAATTATGGACCTTTCCAAACCAGGCATGCTAAATTTGTTGTCTGGCCAATTTTATTTCCATTCCCCAACAAAAAATATACCAAGCTGGGTTGTATGGTCTGTATAGCCCCCTAATCGCTAATCAACATGATCCCGAAGCTGGCCTTCTGAGTTAGCAGTGAGGTCAGAGAATATTCCCTAGCTTTTGGGAGCCTGGACCAACTTGGATCAGTGCTTTTCCCCAGCATATAATTCAAATATCTTTCAATCAAGTATATTTTAAAAGAAATTTTAAATAGGGGCAACTCTAACCACTCAGGAAGTGGCAGTGAACTGCACCAAGGATTTCCAAAGATTTTTACATGATAAACTGCTGGCTTACACAAAATTGCTATAAAAGGACATCAACTTTAGAAATATCATGGGATTTTCTTTTTTCTTTTTTTTTTTCTTTTTTTTAAGAATCAGCTCATCCAACCAAATAGCCTCCCCTCTTATTTTGAAATTTTCCAGGATCTGATTTACTCTTCCTGCTTCTGACTTCCTGTCTGACTCATCCAGTTTTTAGAAATGCAATGATTTTGCTCCATCCAATCAGTTCACATTGGGCTGTCCGTCATGCAGCAGCACCATGCTGCCAGTGGGAATTACTCCAACATTTAAATGGTGTCTATTTACAACAGACAGGAAAAAGCACTGTCTGTTTGAATGAAGGGTTGACAGATTTCTGTTAGTTTACTTATCTCCCGCCCATTAAATGAACTCCATTTTACTTTTGGTGAAACATGTTACCCCTTAGCTTGACTTTTGACTTTCAAAACAACCATAGACTTGACAAAGAATAGCTGCTAGCAACATTGCTAATACAATAGGGATTAATTTATCTTAGCCACATTCTTGTTCTCCAGTTAGCTGTTCACTTATTCGACTGCTAATAGCTTCTAGCCCAACCATTTGTAACACCAACTTTAGCTAGCAGTTAGCCTTATTACAAAACCTGGTAACGTTTACCCCATGTAGCCTGTCACTACCAAATCCGTCCCGGAAGCACAATCCGTTCTGCTCATGTGCCATCCAGATAAACATCCGGGTCATCCTTGATTTTATTTTGTTAAAAAAAGTTAAATGACGTTTTCCTTTAATAAAGGTTAATAATGTATTTCTTGAGGAAATAAATGCCTTAAAATCGTTTTTATCAGTTGCGTCTGCCCGATCTGCACCGGAAATGCGATCCTACGCTACTTCCGGGAGCCAGCTTTTTCGGCTTTGGATTTAAACATAATACTAGTGTTTTTGAGTTTTATGTTTTCATTTTGTTTTAACCTTAAACTATAAAGTGTGTAATCTAAAGAAAGAAACAACTAAACAGCTTTTAAACGTGGTTTAATCATATGTTGCCGGACTGCTCTGAGCATGTCTGATGATGACGTCAAAGAAGCAGTGTAACGAATGCCACATGCGTGGAACGGATCGTGCTTCCGGGACGGAACAGAGTGTGACATGGCTGTCAACCTGACTGAATAGCTGAATAGCTTTTACCCCAACTCTACTTTGCTGTTGCTTTTACCAAGAGTAGTGATTAGCTTGACTGTTAGTGGTTGTTAAATTGACACCAGTTAGCTGTTATGTTTAATTCTGTTAGTTTAGCGGTTCATCCTTTGTAGCTTTTAGCTTAGCTGCAATTAGCTTTACATGGCCATTAGCTTTAATCCAGATTAGCCAACTATTTAAGCCATTGATGTACATCAACTTACCTCCAGTTAACCATTCAGTTGATCTTTAAACTGATACGCTGAGTATTAAATGCTAAATATTGAACAGTGATGAGTGTCCAAGCAAATCTCCAACAGTAAAAATATCTGATTTATGACTTCTGGTTTATTCTGGCCCCAATCTCAGCCCAATTTAAATGTGCCAAAAGTAAAATAAAAAGCTTTATATACTCCTTTATTGTTAATTTAATACAGCAAATATTGGTTAAATGTAGCAGTCTTTTCCTTTGTTTTATTTATACAAATGTCCAACTTTTTGACATTTGTTAATGTGCTTACTAGCAGGATCAGTGAGTCAGGGTGAGGGGTGTGTGTAACGGAGAGGTGTGCGAAGGATTCAGTTAGATGTGTGCGGATAACGAAGTGCCTCCTTAGCAACAGTGACAGTGCAAGGTCATACCATGTTAGAGTGGGGCTGCAGCACAAGGCGAGCCTGTTTCCTCCTCTGCTTCCTGTAGTAGTTCTCAAACACACCACGTAAACCCTAAAACATAAAACCAGGGTTTTAAAAAAAAAGAAACAACAAAATAAAAAAGGTGGAAATACAGAAAAAAGCAAGAGTAAGTTTGCAAACTTTTACACCAAAATCTAATTTCCGACTTAAATAAACAAAATAAAAAAACAAAAAAAAACCTTGGGGTATGATTGGTGGTTATGCTTCACGGGGTTCAACATTTTCTCTACCAGGTCATTAAAACAAGTTAAACTGTCCTCTGTGTGGCTGATTCAGTTTTAGCTGACTTCATTGGACGGCCTTCAAACCACCCTCTCTTTTCCATTACACAGAAGCTCTTTATCTCTTATCTCTCTCTGGGCTGTATTAGATTCTGTTTGAGGTCTGAACCCAGGCCCACAGTCACCGCTGAGGTCAGAGATAAAAGCGTTAAACCAGAACCCCTCAGCAACTGACCAGACCACCACGGATAAACTCGCATACTTTACTCTGCTGTGTTGACCAGCAGCTGTTTTCATTGCGATAGAAGTCGGGGGGAAAACAAATGAGCACATTGGGTTATTCACTAATTTCTACATGACAGTTTCAGCCCCAATTCCTCCAGTCTGCATAGTCAATTACATAAAATATTTCTGTAATAAACCCACAGTTGTATCATCTTTAAATTGATTTATGCAAAAACCTTTGCATTTGTTCAGAAATATGTTTTTTATTCAGATTGGTAATTATGGTAACGCCTTCTTTTATAGTACATCAATAACCATGTAATAACATGGTATTAACATAGCAAGTCGCACTATAGTACTTGGTACCCCAAGATTAAGGTATATGATTTCATATAATAACCTGCAAGTGGTTATTACAATTGTATGTGGCTATATTACATTGTAATTACAATTAGGTTACCACATTATATTTCCTATTATTGGCCAACACCTACCTGAACTCAAGTTACGTATAAATAAGAGTTTATTTATGAAGATTGGCTTCCTGTAGGTTTGGTTTTCTGTTATATACCAAGTAATAAACTGCATTTTAACAGATAACATTCATATATTGCCGTCTGCGAAATCAATATAAATTTTAAAATCTAAGAAGTCTGACTTTACCTGGTCTGTCTAAAATTTGAAGCACAGCACTTAGTACAATTCTCCATAAAGTTTTTCTTGTTACCTAGTAACATAGTGTAACTTGCTATGTTATTACCAGGTTATTACATGGATAATTATATACTGTAAAATAAAGAGTTACCGCAATTATAATATCTATATTTAGGCTGCCCAAGACATTGAAGCCAAATGTTTAAGGCAGCTGCAAGAATTTCCATCATACACCAAAACGCACCTCAGAAACCAGACAAAAGCAGGCAGTTAACAACTCTGTATGCTAGCATCAAGGCGTTACTATCTAGGGCCCCTAAGGTCCAATTTAGCTTTGCATGTAACTCTATAAAGGAAAGAAAGACAAAAAAGCAAATACTTTTCAAAATAAGCAAAATTATTTGTACTTAATATAGCGGATGGTATTCCACCAGAGCGTACATCTGTCTTAATAAAAAGCTAATTGGCTTTAGATTCAATTCACTACCTGAGACTGAACTAGAATATTTTTTGACTGCTAATAGGATGCATTTTATTCCTTAATATGGACAGCAAAATTGTAGACTTAAGGGTTTGTGTACATGCAGAGAATGAAATGTACCGATATTATGATGAATTTAAGCATATCTAATAACACGGCTCCTAGCAATTACTAAATCTAAATCGGCAAAAGTACTATCGAACAGGCTCAGCTTCAGATCATTTAGACATTGCGTTTTTTAAGAAATTAAAATGCAGGTGATATTTATGAAGACTTAAAAATATTCTATATATTGTATTTTATTATACAAGTACTTTTCTGATACACTATATTGCCAAAAGTATTTGCTCACCCATCCAAATTATTGGAATCAGGTGTTCCAATCACTTCCATGGCCACAGGTGTATAAATTCAAGCACCTAGGCATGCAGACTGTTTTTACAAACATTTGTGAAAGAATGGGTCGCTCTCAGGAGCTCAGTGAATTCCAGCGTGGAACTGTGATAGGATGCCACCTGTGCAACAAATCCAGTCGTGAAATTTCCTCGCTCCTAAATATTCCACAGTCAACTGTCAGCTGTATTATAAGAAAATGGAAGTGTTTGAGAACGACAGCAACTCAGCCACGAAGTGGTAGGCCACGTAAACTGACGGAGCGGGGTCAGCGGATGCTGACGCGCATAGTGCGAAGAGGTCGCCAACTTTCTGCAGAGTCAATCACTACAGACCTCCAAACTTCATGTGGCCTTCAGATTAGCTCAAGAACAGTGCGCAGAGAGCTTCATGGAATGGGTTTCCATGGTCGAGCAGCTGCATCCAAGCCATACATCACCAAGTGCAATGCAAAGCGTCGGATGCGGTGGTGTAAAGCACGCCGCCACTGGACTCTAGAGCAGTGGAGACGCGTTCTCTGGAGTGACGAATCGCGCTTCTCCATCTGGCAATCTGATGGACGGGTCTGGGTTTGGCGGTTGCCAGGAGAACGGTACTTGTCTGACTGCATTGTGCCAAGTGTAAAGTTTGGTGGAGGGGGGATTATGGTGTGGGGTTGTTTTTCAGGAGCTGGGCTTGGCCCCTTAGTTCCAGTGAAAGGAACTATGAATGCTTCAGCATACCAAGACATTTTGGACAATTCCATGCTCCCAACTTTGTGGGAACAGTTTGGAGCTGGCCCCTTCCTCTTCCAACATGACTGTGCACCAGTGCACAAAGCAAGGTCCATAAAGACATGGATGACAGAGTCTGGTGTGGATGAACTTGACTGGCCTGCACAGAGTCCTGACCTCAACCCGATAGAACACCTTTGGGATGAATTAGAGCGGAGACTGAGAGCCAGGCCTTCTCGTCCAACATCAGTGTGCGACCTCACAAATGCGCTTCTGGAAGAATGGTCAAAAATTCCCATAAACACACTCCTAAACCTTGTGGACAGCCTTCCCAGAAGAGTTGAAGCTGTTCTAGCTGCAAAGGGTGGACCGACGTCATATTGAACCCTATGGATTAGGAACGGGATGTCACTTAAGCTCATATGTGAGTCAAGGCAGGTGAGCAAATACTTTTGGCAATATAGTGTATTTTAATTTAATTAATCGAAATGTTGATTAAAATTAAAAGTACCGTATTTTCACGACCATAAGGCGCACCGGACTAAAAGGCGCAGTCTCAGTTATGTGTCCCATTTCTGTATTTAACACACATAAGGCGCACCGGACTATAGGGCACGTTTTTTATATACAGGTACATGTCCTCTCAGGTGGATTTTCCCACTTAAAAACATATTAAAACTACTTTATTCCCACTGATCACAGCAAATAAAGCTGCAAGGTGTATTTATTACAAAGTATTATTCAAACCTGGGAACCGGCCGTGAGAGACACATCGCTGATGACACAGGGCTGTGATTACTCCTCTGATACAGTTTATTGATGCATAAATTAACTTAAAACATAGGCAGGATAATAATCTGGATGAACTGACTGCAATGATTAAATTTTCAGGTGGACTTTCTCACTTAAAAAGATTTAGATTATTTAGATGAAAAAACACCTGCGGAGGTGAGCCCGGATGCGCCGCGGCCCAGAGGCTGCTGTTGAATTAAGTTTTCAGGTAGAAAAATAGAGCTGGAGCAAAACTGAGTATGATTGTGCTTTATTCAAGTATTTATTACAGAGTATTAATCAAACCCCTCAAAGTCCTCATCCTCTGTTTCTGAATTAAACAGCTGCGCTAAATCCGACATGCCAGTTTCCCCTTCTTCTTCGCTGTCAGAGTCACTTTCCGTGCCGGGCGGCTCCTTGGAAATGATGCCGGCTTTTGCGAAAGCTTGAACAACAGTGCCAGCAGACACGTTAGTCCAAGCATCAAAAATCCATCCGCAAACGGTGGCGTAACTTGCCCGGCGCTGCGTTCCACTTATCCTAAAACTGTGGTCTCTGTCGGCCATCCATCGCTCCCACGCCGCTCGCAGCCTTACTTTGAACTGCCGCTTCACACCGATGTCGAGCGGTTGAAGTTCCTTTGTCAGACCCCCCGGGATAACGGCGAGCACAGCGTTCATTGATTCACCTTCTTTTTCACATCGGCTGTGAGATGGGCACGCAGCGATGGTGATGCGTGGAAAAAACCACCTGGTCTCCTCACATAGGCTAAACACCTCCCTCAGCCACGCTTTCATCATCTCCTCATCCATCCAGCCTTTTCCATTTGCGTTTATATCATGTCATCAGAGCGCTGTGTCTGTCTCGCTGTCAGCTCCCAGATCAGCTTCTCTGATTGGTTGATGCGGCGCGTCCAGCAGCAAAACTTCAATTTTTCCATCTCGAGCAGCAGCGCGTTGGCAGATGCTTAAACGCTCCTGCTGCTCAAAACGCGCTGCAGGACCTTTTGCTGCACCTATATGCGCGTCAACCATTGACTTTGCATGTAAACTCGCTGCTTCTGCTGCACCTGCTGGGTCCGGTTCACACCGATGTCGAGCGGTTGAACAGCGAGCACAGGGTTAACTGGTTTCCCCATGTTTTTCACATCAGCTGTGAGATGGGCACGCATGGAGTTACATATTAACAGCGATGGTGATGAGTGGAAAAAAAACACCTGGTCTCCTTACATTCAGCAACTCTTTCATCATCTCCTCAATGAGGTGGTCTCAAAAGTCGCAGTTACAACACACATAAGGCGCACCGCACCAAAGGGCGCACTGCACATTTTGAGGGGAAAAAAAGACGTTTAAGTGCGCCTTATAGTCGTGAAAATACGGTAATAAACATGTTTTATAAATGGGGCTTAAAAGAAGAGCAGGAAACATTTTCATTTTGCTCTGATTTTGGGGGAAATTAACACTTTATATAGTTTCCAGTTGAAGTAAGCAACATTTGTTTTTGTTTTTTTGTTTTTCAATAGCAAATCTTGGCTGATGGATGTCAGCCGAAAAACAAAAAGATACAAAGAAAAAGCATTTTCATAGAAAAATCAGAATCTCATTGTAGGAGTCCTAGATTACATCTTTGAACTCTGTTTAGTTTGATGCTGTGAGGTGAAAAAAGTTGCTTTAATTCTTCAATTCCCAGTTTGACCCGCAGCTGAACAATGAGCATTCATGGAGCCAGCGGCAGCAACCGGCCGTGAACTCTTCGTTTTACGGCCCTGAGATCCCAGAGAGGGGAACTCGGGCAGGGTGAAGTCCAGGCCTGGGATGATGCGATTATGCAGTGACCTTTGTATCGCCGCAGAAACAAAGGGGGTGAGAAGATATGCAGAGATAAAAACAAACACTCTATTTGATTTTTTTATTGCTCCAAGTGGGTAAACACCTGATCAGCCTGGAATTCAACCCTGAAATTATAAACTGTATCTACAGTTCTCAATTACGCATGTAAAGAAGTTTAATTAAAAAAAGGTTGCAAGAATAATGAATAAAAGCCCTACTCAGGCCAGGATAATAATTTAGGGTTTAGGTCAGATTGTTTAGACTTAGACTTGGGCAACTTTTGTCATAAATAAGTGTATACATTTGATTTACAGCTCCAATGAGATTTCCATTTCTTAAAGTGCAGCAGTGATCAAATGTAAACAGTGTGGGAGGAAAAAACATGGTTTTTGTGACCAAGACGAGTCTTTGACGCATTTCAGTGACTTTTTTGATTGATGAACCACTTTTTTTTTTCTTTTTTTCGCCATGTTTCCCCTAATTTTTGGATAACAATTAATTTCCAGACTGCGTTAGTTTAAACAGGGCAGAATATGTTGCCTTTCAAGATCTTTTGCCTCCTTCATCACGTTAAATGGGTCCTTTCTTTATAAATATCTTGATTTTACAAGTCTGGTAGTAAGCAGGCCAAGAAAACAAATGAGGATTAGTTTGTGGATGGATGGTTGACTTGGAGAAGAAGAAAGTCCTATTTTGCTCCTTCTACATTTTCCTTTCTTTAGAACATTTCCACACTGGAGAATCATAAAAAAGCAACCTGCACCATTTTCCCTTATTTTTAAGGCAGTAAAGCCTCAGTGTGTGTGTGCTTGATTTTCCTTCACTTTATTCCAACCAATGGATCCATTTAGAAGAAAGTCTAAGCTCCGATTCTCAAGAAAGAAAAAAAAAAAAGCAGCTCGCTGTCAGCCTCCCCTCCTCTCTGCTGGGTTATGTTTACATCAATCATAACTCGGTCCACATTGCCACATGAACTACATGCGAGGGAGTAACAAAGGGGTATTGTTCGGCCTCAGCGCTACTCAACGACTGGTTGAAAAACGTGGACTCGAGGCTCGGAAAAAACGGTGAACGGAGAGAGGGGAAAAACCGGCTGATAGGAAAGAAGATTCCTCATCCAGGTTCCTTAGAAAAACAAATGAAAGCGTTCTGCTGTGAGCATGTGAGAGCAGTTCGCTCTCAACCTAAACCAGGCTTTCAGACGGCATCCATCTAAAAGCTGGAAACTGAGCTGCAGAATATGTTCCTTTCCAACGTGAGCAGAAACATCAGAGCTAACAGAGCGGGTGAAGCTGACCTCAGGGGTCAGCAGGTCAATCCTTTCAACACCTTCTTCACGCAGAACATACTCCTCCTCCTCCTTCATCAGTTCTTCTCCCACAGTAGCTAGCTCCTCTCTCTAATCTCAATCCTTCTGTGTTGTGTTTTCTACGTCACCTTCCTGTTTTTGCCCTTTTGGCCTCCCCATGACCACGTCCCCCCCTTCCCTCTCCTCCTTATCGCTCCTCAGCTGCTTCACTCTCTCCTGTCCTTTCTACTGCTACACCTCCAGCAGCCCTTACCCTCCCAGCCCCAATTATTAAATCCTCCTCTAATTTGTTCTTTATTCGCATTCTTCCTTCTCAGTGCGTTAAACCAGCATTAAAATGCTTCCTACCAAACCCTGCTCCTCATAGATATCTAAATAAGCCTTTAAGCAGTACACAACAAGAGCGCCTCATCCATTTCTCCCAGGCTTTGCAGCTTTTTACTAGCCTGATAAACCAGACTAAATGTGAGATTAAATGTGTAATTTAGTCTGGATCCGATGATTGAGACATCGGAAGATTGTTGATGAGATCAACCCTTTGTTTTTTAAACCATGTCTGCACCTATTGGCCAACGCTGTGACCAACGAGGGCAGCTGACTGTGACGTAGTAAGCGCGACAGAAAGCTGGTGGGGGAGAGTAAACAAACAGCCTGTCTGTAAAACGGCAAATATGTCCTTCTTAAAAACGAATGAACGTAGAGCCTCTTCCTGCTCATGTCTCAACGAAGTCTAATCCTAAACTGATTCCAAAGCTGAGTCAAACGAGAACTGTTCAATAGTTGTTGCCATCTTCCTTGTTGTGCTTTCTCCAGCGTCGTGCAGCTTTGTCGTCACGCCCTCAACATCCCGCCCGCTTTGCATCCAAAAATTCAAAACACTGCATTGTGATTGGCCCGCCAGTTCTAGGGCCTGGGGCATTGATCGAGGCTAGACCACTCGAAGGCAAAAATGATTTTGGCCGCTTGGGGCTAGTTTACTAGGCTAGCTTTAATTAAACATTAGTTTAACAATAGAGAAAATGGAGGGAAACATCAATGTGTAATGCTTTGATCTAAACCAGTGGTTTTCCAACCTGCTCTTCAGGACCCACTATCTACCTCCTACACCTGCAATAAATACAACTTATCTCAATAAATGTTTGATTAACAGGCTTCTACATTCGAAGGCACCCTGAAGAGGCAGTGCAATCATTTAAATAAAGGACACATCTAAAACATGAGGAGCAGAAGGCAGAGAACTTTCCTACTGTCTCTAGCATGTTATATGTCATTTTCCTCATTGTGAAGGATCAGGTTTTCTTTGACTTACTCCCGTGTTTAGCTCCATTCATCTTCCCATCAGTTCTGACCAGCTTCCCTGTCCCTGATGACTGGTGATGGATCATTAGGGCTGAGATGTCTCATTATTTATTTATTACACAAACAAAAAAATGTTCTTGACCAATTCCTCTACTTGAGTAATGTCATTAAGTTTGGGCGTGTTTTAGGTCTATTTCTACTCGTTCCATCATTAGATGATGAACGGAGCTGAGCTCTGTGGGACATAAAGGGATTAGGATCTTTAATTACACTCCTCCGTCTCCCTGACCCGTCTCTGCTGTGTTCTCTGGCCCTCGTGAGGCTTTTTGTTTACTAATGTTCTCCAGCAAAACTTCTAAAGCTTTGAAAGAACATCTGGATCCACGCAGAGGTTAGATCAAACAAGGATTGCTTTTATCTGCTAATTAGCCGACTTCTGAGGCGACTGGTTGCGCTAGATTTTATTTAGGGTTGTCAAAGTGAAGGAAGTTGCTTTAAACGCCATAAAATCCTCAGATTTCTTCATATACATTGTGAAAATTGTATAATCAGCTGACTAATCTTTATAAAATGGAAACAGTTTGAGGAGCAAATACCTTTTAAAGGTGGAGTTTATGAAAAAAGCAGCTTTAAAACATTCATCTCCTGGCCATCACCTGTCTAAACCTTATAGGCTCAGTTTTCTTGCGTCCTCCAGGCGTTTGTCCTCCTACGCTCCCTCCATCACTTCTTCCTCTCTAACCCTCATCTGCTTTTCTTTCCTCCCTCCATCGTTCTCCTGTCTGTTGGCTTTCTTCTTCCTGTCAAAGTTCATGCACTTCCTGTTGCTGAACCCCCCCCCTAAGACACACACAGACAATCTCATAGTGCAGAGAAATGCCGACCCTGTGGCCGAGCTGGCCCGGTCACAACCCCTGCAGGCAAACATACAAACACTCAGTCAGGGCCCGAAATGTGCAGCTGACCCCGCCGTGGCCCACTCAACACCTCCACCCGCGTCGCTTTCGCTCAGACTGAGAAGAGACACGCAGCCAGGTTGGAGCGAAGCCAGGCCTGAGCTGGAGGCCTCAGAGAACACCAGCAGCAGCAGCAGGAGGAGCCCCTCAGCACACAAACCTCCTGCAGTCTGGAGGCAACGCTGCGGATGATTGTCCAACTCAATCTGTGTGATAATGCCATAGACTGATCAGACGCATTCTACTCAGTTTCATCTGCACTTTTCAGCAGAACAGGTCCTGTAACCGGCCAGTTTAAACCAGCGGCGGTGTGCATGAGCCAGGCAGAGATCAGAGGTGGATTATGACCAGGGGTGGAAATGAGTTTGCTGTTATTTTGCTTGTAGGAAGGAAGCAAGGACATAAAGAGGAAGGACTCACCAACACAGTGTAGATATGGAGGCAGCGGTAGACTGGGGAGAAATCGACCAAGTCCTGAGCTCCTGGGACCTGAACACAAGCACAAACCACAACCTGTTTCATCCCAACTCAGTCAACAAGAGGTTAGACTTTTCAGCTTTTAGTTTCCCCACAATCGATATGTTGCTTTGCTTTGCTGGAACACTTCAAAAATCGGTAATTCTCTGTTTAGTAAACTGAGATTTAGTCGACCAGAATATAAAAGATGCCCCTTCTTAAAGGAATAGTACACCCAAAACATGATTAGCCTTCATTTTCTACTCACCCCCATGCTGAACAACACTCTGGAGTACTGTTTTGATATCTCAAATGCATCTGGAGATCTGGGAGGCTTCTTGCTGTCTGCTGACATTCAAATAATGGAGGTCTATGGCGCCCGAGGCAGAAAGGTCCATAAAAGTCCACAAAAAACGTGTCAATATTCCTCCATACTGCTCGTCCAATGTATTCCAAGTGTCCTGAGTCGGTAGCATCCAGAATTTACTCGAAACGAAGTCATTTAGAATGTTTTTAGAGCATAAACAGTAGTGTATAGGATTTCCTGAAAGCGCGTTCACGGCGCTACGAAAACCGCGGCAGACCAAACCAGATGAAAGTGCGCATTCAGCTCAGCAAAGAACTCATGCTCTTCCTCAACACTGAAGTCCTCAGACATTTTTCTTTCCTTGTTTCTTTCTTTGCACAGGTAAACAGCACATTTCTTCTTCTACGCTTGCATTATTGGCAGAGCAGACGCTGAATGCGCACTTTCATCTGGTTTGGTCTGCCGGCTTCCGTAGCGTCATGAACGCGCAGGTGCGCGCTTTCAGAAAATCCTATACACTACTGTTTATGCTCTAAAAACATTCTAAATGACTTTGTTTCGAGTAAATTCTGGATGCTACCCACTCAGGACACTTGGAATACATTGGACGAGCAGTATGGAGGAATATTGACACGTTTTTTGTGGACTTTTATGGACCTTTCTGTCTCGGCCACCATAGACCTCCATTATTTGAATGTCAGCAGACAGCAAGAAGCCTCCCAGATCTCCAGATGCATTTGAGATATCAAAAAAGTACTCCAGAGTGTTGTTCAGCATGGGGGTGAGTAGAAAATGAAGGCTAATCATGTTTTGGGTGTACTATTCCTTTAATCTGTCTTGGCCAAATAAGTAAATTTTTCACTAAATACTTTGAGTTAAAGCAACAGCATGTGACACTCTCCAATCCAGGTTTATTCATCTGGCAAAGAAGAACAATCACTTTAAAATGTGTTGTTTTCAGTGGCTTTCAATCTGGGAATCTTGTGCACCAGGCCAGATAATAATCATAATATTTCATCACATTAGGGTTACAACAAACTGTTACTTTGCAAATCAATGAATCTGTAGATTAATTTTTCAATTAATCTGTGATTAATCATATAGTAAAAGGTTCCGACTTTTTATGAAATTACCAGCTGAAGCTAAAAACTTTCCTTATGAGGAGTTCTGAATCTTTTTTTTTTTTTTTTTTTTTTTTATCTAAAATGCAAAATATTTATATATTTTTTTTACAATCCTGGTATAAAAACTGCTCTAAATGTGTCGCTTTGTTAGCTAAAAGAACATTTTATAGTCTCTATACTCCAGATAACGACCCCTTTTTGATAGTTATTCAAATGTCATTATAGTCTCCACCTTGTTTTAATTAAAATAAGGGACATAAAAAAAAAAAAAAATGTGGTTTAGCTGTAACATGAAACAGATTGTCCATTTCTAGTCAATTGTTTATGATTTTTAGTTTTTGCATTTTTCTACAGATTTGACAGAGCTCTACACCATGCTAAATTAAAATTCACTCCTCAGAATCTGAAGCTTTTGCTTCCTGTAAAATAATAAATAAATAAACCAAAAGAGGTAAATCAAGAGTTTCAGGCACTGATGGAACAGAATGGATGCAAACAGGAGGAAAAATTCCAAAAAACCTGGATTGAACCAAAACCATAGCAGATGAGGTGAACAGAGGTCAGTAAAGGTGAGGTGGGGCAATTAAAGGTTTAAAGAGAAAAAACAACAAATAGAAAATAGAGGGATTGAAATAATAGAAGCAGCTGAACATAAAAAGAGCACAAAAAAAAGAGATACCAGGGGGTGTCATTAAATAAGGGAAGGGGAAGACGGGGTGGGATGGACGGCGGCTGGTTGGCATTCTGAAGGCCGCTGGCGCCAACTCAGTCGTAACCCTGAAGGCTGCCGCGTTGGTCTTTGTTCTGAACAAGGTTCTTCACACGGAGAAGGTTGGGTCAAGTTTACAGGACGTCAATAAGCCATGGGGAACTGCAAACCGAATGCCAACGCAGGGCAGGTGGGGGTGACAAGTTCAGCTCCATTCTCCTCAGCTTCATTGTATTTTGCTTTCATCAAACGGGAACAACAAAGGAGCTCTGATCCTGAGAGGGAGAGCTGCAAGAGTTCAGGCTCGGAACGCCGTTATGATGACACCATGTTTGTCACCTATGGTGGGAACTAAGTGCCTGCTATTTCTGCTCTGCTTAAAGTAAATACATTCCTGCTAAATATTTAAACCGTAATTAGCCAGTGTTGTGTCTGAAGGCAACAATTAAAGGTTCAGACCATTAAAAAAATAAGGTTTTCAAACTAAAGGAAATTTAAATGCTTAAATGGCCCAAACCCTCAAACAAATAGTGCTTTTAGTTTGTTTAAATTGGCTTGATTTTTTGTTTTTTATTGTAACTCAACTAAACGTTAGGAAAAAAATAAGTAAAGTTGGGTTTAGAAAGGTTCCCTAAACCGCTCATTAGGTGGAGATGGACTCCCATTGAAGATGACATCAGGCAGTGCTACGATTGCACCAAAAATATGAAATAAAAACTTAAATTAAACAGCTTTTTAAGGGTAGTCTTAAAAAATTACATTCTTTTAGAACCCTAAATGTTTATTTATTTATTTATTTATTTGATTAGTTAGTCTGCTCAAATAAATATTAACCAAAAACAAATATATCATAGTAAAATAAGAAAAAACTGTTTAAACTGTTACAAAAAATGATAGGTTTATAAAATGTTTATAAAATATGGTCAAAAGTTTCTTTTTACATAACACTTTAATAATTCTAAAACAGATAAAATAATTGTTACACTTTAATTATATGTTTTAATAGAAATATTTTTAGTTTTTAAAACATTTTATCTTCCTAAATTTTTCAAAATTTTAAAATCAACCTTTAATTTTATTATTTTTCTATTTTCTTTTGTTATTAGAAAAAATATAAGCATTCTGTTTTACTCCAACTACATTACATTTTTTTAAATATATTTTTCTATGAATAATTTAATTTGCCTATCCTGTTTTCATCTGAAGAAAAGCCTTTAACACACATCTGAATGATGTCTTTTTGTCAGAAGATCAGTCTTAGGAATCAATGTCATATATAAACAAAATAAACACAAATAAATAAAATAAGCACATAAATAAATCAATCAATAAATAAATCAATAAATAGATGGGTTTGAAGAAGAACGGAGGATGAACAGAGGGAGTAGCTCTGGTTTTAATGGAGGATGGGAGCCAGGCTACAGCGGTGGAAAATATGCGAGTGTGAAGGTTGAGAAATGAGCTAAAGGGAGCAGGAGAAAATAATGTTGAGATGTGTGAAGGACTCCATGTTCATATAAAGCTGATGTAATAGCTCATTTATGATGCAGTTTTATTTCAACCATTAACCAGATCAGAGGCTCAGATGTAACTTCAACACTTGGATGCGTTTGTGGCGCCAACATGCTCACCTCTTCCTCCTCCTCATCCTCCACGTCCAGAATACCAGAGTCCTGTTCAGACATGGGGCTGCCGCCGTGTCCGCCGCTCTCTGTTCCCACCGCCGCCGCCTCCTTTCTGCTGCGCCGACCAATCAGGGCCCTGGGCTGAAGGGTGACGGCGCTGTCCAGCGAGCGCTGGAGCTGAGCCTGAACAGAAACGCACATCAGAAGGCAACGAAGGTCAACCTTAACTCCCAGAAACTGGCTCTTTTTAGTGTCCTGGGAAAGGTTGCCCTGCATTGTTTGCGTCTATTCCAGTTATTTCCTACATTTCCCAGAGAGCTTTTCAAGTGGCTAAGAGGAGAGGTGGGAAGCTTTTGGCTCAACTTCAGAGGAAGCTGATGGAGGTTCTTTGATTTTAAGGGTCTGACACCAAAACCAGATGTTGGCTGATAACAATGATACACCGTCTCTGCAGAAGCTGCCCAACATCTGTTCCGGCTGCACTTCCACAGGTCAGACACAGGAAAAGTACAAAAAAAAACGAGAAATCAAAGGCAGACAAAGGAAAATTCAGACCCTCATACGGCGGTGACTGGGATGAGAGGTCAGCGGCTCCTGCTAGGGCCTGACTAAAGAACAAATACGTTGGAAAACACCAGGGAGACGAATAGTGAAAATGGAGGATGATAAGTTAATAAAATTGGACTGAAGAACATTGATAGATGACATGTTAATTGCTCCTCATGCTTGACGAACGCTGATAACCTACGCTTTTTTATTCTGGGATATTCAGAATACCTGTCCCAAAAATAAAAAATATAAAACAAGTCTGCCACTAAAACCGTGTAATCTATTTGATTGATGGTCCTGTAATTAAAACAAATGTGCAATATTTCAAACATTTGTATTAAGCAGACTAACTAGAATAAAAAAGGATTTCTAACATATTTCTACAGCATCAGTCTCCATACTTCTTTTCAGGCATCTGATCCAGACATAAACGGCAGATAAATTTTTTATTTTTTCTTCGATGTCTTTTTATCTTTTCTAATCTTTTAAACGGTCTGAGATAAATTCACACAATATTTTTATTTTAAAGAACTTTAAGTTTCTTGACCAGTGAGGGTAGCTATTAAAATACATCTTACTGGCATTCCTAACTCCAGTCAGATTTGAAATACATGAAAAGTATAGTTTTAATAAAATATATTAAACAAAGTAAAGCAAAAAAAAATTTTTTTTTTTACATTTTTGAACTAGACGATTCTGGGTTTACATATACTTCTATATAATAGATATTTTTCAACTGATTTTGTTTTTATCATTTCCAATATTTTCAAAGAATACTTATAAATTCAAATGCAATAAAGCTAATAAAAGACTTCATGTGGCCCTTATAGGCACCAGTAGATTCCTTAGATCAGAGCAGTATCGACAATTAAGCATCAAATTGTTACACTTTGAGGAAGCATCACAGCCAGGATAGATTTTTTCCTAATATGTTCATCAAATACATGCTAAATATTCTCTCAAAGGGCTAATCGAAACATTAAACCTACAGTTAGTTATTTTTTTGTGGATGAATTAGATGCTCAATTAACTAGATGTTGAAATTAGGGCTGCAACAACTAATCGGTAAAATCGATAAAAATTGACTTTTAAAAACGTTGGCAACGAATTTCATCATCGATTAGTTGTGTCGCGCGATTAATGCGTCATCAGCCGCCGTGGGGCGCCTCCCCCATCCCAACCCCGTTCTCCCGCTCCCGCAGGAGTTCCTCTCAGCGCTGCAGTCAGAGCCGCAGGATGTTTACCCTCAGCTTCCAGACTGAAAATCAAGCGCGTATGCGCCGGGATTGACGGCGCAAATTGATCACAATAATTAAAATAGCCTGCGCTTTGTAAAGTGAAAAAAGTCGTAACATGCAACTTTTGTCAAAACAAATTAACATGGCACGGGAGCACCTGAAAAGAAAACATGTTGGAGCCTTCAATGGCAGTGAAGAGAGCTGATCAGCAGGGTGAGCGACCATGTTTGTTTCGTTTTAAAGTGGGGAAACGTTACGTTAGTTTCTCAGGTAGCTCATCTGATGCTTTCCTTACCTTGTTAGTAGGTTACAGACAGTGATAAGGTTGGCTACTTATTTTACTTTTAATTTAATTTGAATTAGCTTAAGCAGCGTTTATATTTTCTTTATAAATAAATTAACTTGCAAATTATGAGGGCAAGGCTTTTAAAGTTTAAATCTTCTGGCAAAGATAAAGTAAAGAAGATCCTGCAATTTATGGAAGTAAAGAAGAATAAATCCAGCAAGATCAGTAATATGTCAATTAATTATATGCCACATTCCCATGTAAATATCTGTCTTTGGAGGATGTGTTTTTTAGCACCCCTAGTTCTCTCATTTTTATTCCAAATACAATTTATAATTTGAATCACAGGGCTATTTTTATCTCTATGGTTCAGTATTTTCTCAAGTAGCAACTTTAACTGCTGTACTTTCCTGTCTTAAAAGGCAGAACTCTTCTAGTCTTAAAAAAAACTAATTTGATGAAATGGGGGGACCTATTGTTTGAGCCCCTTAGGGGCTTTTAAAAACAAAAATGCCTGTCTTTTTTTGCGCTTCATGAAACAAAGTACCCTATATTTTGTGGATGTACAGCTACATTTCTCATGTAAGTTTGTGTAATTTTAACACATTTATTTTTCATATTGCACCAGTACAGTTAAAGGAAAATTCCGGTTTTTAACACTTTTAGCCCATTTTCTGTAGTGTCCAGGATGCATTCGAATGATCGACACCAAAATTTTGACAATTGGTCCTGTCTCTGCTATTTGGCTCATGCAGAATCCCCCCCTGGCTGCTTCAGAATGGCTTCCATAGTGCATGTCCGATAATCTCCTTAAAACAACCTTAAACGTTCTTTTTTTAAAATATGCTACTCACCGGGTCGTCAGCGCCGTTCAATGACGTTCCAAAAAAAGTTTCGTAAAGAAAAACCGTTCCTGTTTTGTTTTATTTAGCATTTTGTAAATCCCAGAACTATTTTTTCCGATACATCACAACCGCTTATAAACTTCCGCTTCCCGTTCGAATCTGAAGCGTTGCACACTCCAGACCACTAGTTGGCGACAATGTCTCTATATACTCCTCCTCAGTATATTCCGGTTCAAAACGGTATCCTCTACCGTCAAACTCAAAGTCCAATATGTCCTCCTCAAGAATCCACCTTTCGTATTCCATTTTCAGAGTTTTTTAAAGTGTTTAACAGAGACGTTAGCACCTCGACGTCGGAGTACACAGAGTGAAGCGAAAAGACTACAACCAATTGTAAACAGGCCCCATTTCCGTTTCCGGTGGCGGAGGGATATTGACTATTCCAACAGAACTCAATGGGATTTACAAAATGCTAAATAAAACACTACAGGAACGTTTTTTCTTTACGAAACTTTTTTTGGAACGTCATTGAACAGCGCTGACGACCCGGTGAGTAGCATATTTAAAAAAAAGAAAGTTTAAGGTTGTTTTAAGGACATTATCGGACATGCACTATGGAAGCCATTCTGAAGCAGCCAGGGGGGGATTCTGCATGAGCCAAATAGCAGAGACAGGACCAATTGTCAAAATTTTGGTGTCGATCATTCGATTTCATCCTGGACACTACAGAAAATGGGCTAAAAGTGTTAAAAACCGGAATTTTCCTTTAATGAGCAACCTGTACTTGTGTGCTTGTTTGTTCTGTCTAAAATGTTTATTTTGGAATAAAGAGGTTAATATAAAAAATATTTTTTGTCCGATTCATCGATTAATCGAAAAAATTATCGTCCGATTCATCGATTTTTAAAATAATCGTTAGTTGCAACCCTACTTGAAATACATTAAACTTTAACCTTAACCCCCACTCGCCCTTTTTTATTTTTTTTTTTTTGTGTGTATTCATCTATCTTCTTTCATTGATTTACTTATTTATTACATATTCTATTATTTCTTTTTATTTTACATAATTTTTTTTACTTTGGGTTACACCCATCTCCTGAATGACGCCGAATGGGTGGTTGATGATAATTACAGTATTTATTCCAGAATTTGTATTGCACATTTATATACCGAAAAAAAAAATAAACCTTGCTTTAAAAAAAAGAAAAAGAAAAAACCTTTTTTTTTATACATATCTTTATTTAGACTATTTTTCACTGTATGTTGTTTTTAGAATCATAGAGGCCAGACTCAGAGGAAAATGTTCCTCCTTTTTCCCCGCATACAAATGGAAAGATTCTCCACAGGACAATGTGAGATCCTAACTTGTGTGTCTGCGGAAACGATACCTTCAGTGTTGGATCAGGAAATCTAAAAATATGAATAAATGCAGGAAGCTTTAATGAGCGCTTGTATCCAAAACAAAATAAATAAAAAAAACACGCCAAATGAAGAAGGTCAACCTCAAAAAGCACATTAAAAGAAAACGATTTTACAGATATTTGACAAATTAGACATTTCCTGGCTTTTTTTTCTGTGGCTTTTTTTTCACCATTAACAGTATTCCCACGCTGAGCTTCCAACCTCTTTATGACCAAAATATTTATTCTGTGGGAAAACCCTCGGAGATGTGAGGGCATCTTTCCATCCGCGCCCAGACGGGCTTCAGCTCCTTTTGAACATCAGTGAGTATGCTTCCTTTGCACACCGCCACCGGCACGTAGGCTACGCCTAAATCTCCCCGAGAGAGACGTCAAGAAACACACCAGGGACATGGAGCGGCTTGGTTCGGCCCGTTTAATGACACCGATGATGAGAAAAACTGCACGCAAGTCTGGAAAGGCTTAGACCCGGAAAAACACAATATGCTGGAAAAATAACAATGCCATCTTTGATCTGATGCCCACATGCAATCGACCTCACAATCACAAGGTAAATGAGTCATATAAGACAATAAGTGCAAACAAAATCAGTGGAAATTCTCATTCCTCTACTCAGGAGGAGGAGGGGACGTAAAAAAGGCCCCAACATCCAAACACACTCACGTTTTCCAACAAATACCAACTCAAAATAAAACAAACAGTGAAGACGTCAGTGTGCACATTAAACCCATTGCTTTGGTTTTTGTTTTCAAATGCAAATGAACAAATTAGACCCGAAAAGAGGCTGAGAGAACGGCACAGAAAACATCTCGAGCGATGCAAGACGTCAGCGCCTACGTCAAGAAGATCCACTCGGTGCTTCAGCTCGGCTCTCGCTCTCTGCAGCAGGTGTGTTGGGCATACCGCTGACGCACTCAAACCGGCCTCCTTTTTAAACCGTCCGCACAAAGGCAGGTTCTTCTGCAGAGGGAACCCTTTTAAACGCGGCCTTTCTTTACAGAGGCCGTGATTGAAGCAGAAGTGCAGCACTGTGCGTCACTGCTTGCAAAAAAACGTAAAACCTCAAGCATGAGAAACATTCGGGACAGAAGAAAAGAGCCGAGACAGAAAGGTAAATAAAGTCAGGGAAAAGACTCAAAGGAAGGTGGGCAGACAAATGGAGAGGTGGGAGAGCAGCCAGCGGTCAGATTCACACAACTAGACAATTGGTGCAAAGCAGTAAAAACACTGAGGTAAGACCACACACTGATCCAAAGATGACAGGGGTGTATTCCTTGAGAAATCACCAAGAACCCGGCATTTTCTTTAGCAGTTTTGGATCAAATCTAATAAAGTTGCCCAAAAAAACTCAAATTACTTCACTAATGAGGAATTTAAAGCAAACTTGGATTATATCTGATGGCTGAAAGCATTTTAAAGCACAGAGCAAAGAATTTCAAATCAAATGTAAAGATTCACTTCAAGCTGTTAACCTGAATAACCAATCATCTGTTCCAGAACATGAGCATTTGGCTTTTTAAAAAGGAAGCAAAGAAGTAGGTAGCAGGGTTTCATCAACATCCACCCTTTTAGCCTAATTGGCATCAGCGGAGAAAGAAATCATCTTTCTTCCAGTCACAAAACACAACAAGAAAAGTAGCACTGAGATCCAGTCATACAACAGAGGTTTCTTTAAAGCTACCGGATTTGAAGTGTGTGCATGGCACTGATTTTAATGACTTGGAAGGCATAACTCTGGATGACTCAGATCTCTATTGAGGCCAAGGAAATCCTGACTGGGACATCCCTACAGTAAACATCTTATTAAGAAGAATTAGACCTTTGCTTCACCCAGAAAGCACTAAAACTAACATTGGCCGAGCCATCTTCAGCGATCTGCTCATCAAGTCAGTGATTTCGCTCCTTCTAATATGTAAATAAAATATTATGAAAGAAAAATCTGGTTTTTCTTCTCAGGGGGATTTCATTTCTTCCTTCAAATGTCAGGAAACTAAACCACATTTGAGACAGAGCCTGCATCTGTTAGAAACAGGAATCTTAAATGGATGAGAATGGTTCCAGAGGTCGTTGATGTTGTCTTTATGCCCTTGTTTAATTGGCTTATTAGCAATGTTTGTGCAGTTTAACCAATAATTGTCGGGGTCAAAAGTCTATGCTGCCACTATTCTGCAGATGAGGAGCCATTATAAATCAGTTTGTCTGTCAGAAATAATGCAGTGTGATGGCGCTGAACTGTGAGGCACTGTTTAGCAGACGCACTCTGAGTGACACAGCAGCCCGTAACGGTACATTTTCGCTTTCTTTGTGATGGTTCAATACACCGACGCCGCGCGCACCCTCAGCCACCCTCGCTGCACGCACACACATGTGTGTGCTCAGTAACCAGATACAGGTAATCAATCTTCCTCCACTTCACAGGCCCTGCAGTCTGTTTCCCGTTAGGACGAATGAGCGTGTGTGAGCAGAAGCTCCGGACTCGTCTGTCGCTGAACACGAGAGCAGGGAGGAGATGGAAAATATAGGAAGCGGAGAGAAGGAACGGAGAGGGTGAAAGGGAGACAATAGGTGGTTGGAAGTGAGGAAATGTGGCGTGATTATAGATGGGAAAAAAGAAATGGAAAATGACAAGGAAATGCTTTAAGGTAGAGATTTCTTCCATTTTTTACTCCATCATTGCATTCCTTTAAGATTTTTCTTCCCTCTCCTCCTCTCACCTGTCCATCCCTTCATCAGGGAAGCCGCCCTTGGATATCTGATGAAAGAAGATCCAGAAAAGCCCATCTGAGCAGTATAATAATAAACAGGTACCAAACCAAGGAAAGGTTCAAATTTACAAAAGCTTTTCCGTCTAAAAATGTCTACAAAGTAAAAAATTGGGTATTAAAAATTCCGAGTCAACTTGTTTTACTCCAAATAGAGTAATTAAAACTATACTGAGTGTAAATATTTTCAAGTGTTGGGAGTTAATAGTCAGTGAAATTTTGACAGTCATGCAGTGCAACTTTACTCTGTTCTGATTACCATCAAGTTTTAGAGATCTTCTGGATTTAGACACTAAAATGGGTGAAATTAACAACCGCACACATAAAATGTCACTTGGGTCTGGTCGCAAACCAGTTTTGCTGGTATGCTTTTGCACCATCGGTCTGATATTTCTAGGGACGCACAGCTGTTTCCCGCCAAAGCGCTAGGGGGAGCCTATGCGAGAACTCGCCAGAACTTCAGCGGATGGTTAGAAAAGTTCTGCGTCGCCGGCGGGAGTGTTTATCTTCCAAAACAACAATGGTGCGTCTGCAAGATATCACGGTCATGGAGATGGATCTAGAGTTGCTAGACATGGAAAAGGAAGTTGTCCATTGTAGTTTTTCCTCGTTTTTTTTAAAAACGGTGCACCCCGGCACCGAATCGAGAAGGATGACCACACGGACAGCCGGAAAGGCATACCAAGGACCAATCACTGCGCACTTCCGCTTGAGGTCTGCGCGGGTTTGCGACCGGCCGACGCGCAGCCAGGATTTTTTTGAGGTGCGCGACGATGGTTGCAGAGCATCTGCGAGGGGGGCAGTTGCAGAGGCCATGCGTCAGAAGCATAAATTGGCCTTAAAAGTTGACACTGGCGATAGATTAAGTTTCACACCCATTTGGAGTGGGACCAAATGTTATCTGAAACAGAGTTATGCTACGTTCACACCGCAGCAAGTGCGGCAGAAGCAGCGAGTTTACTTGCAAAGTCAATGGTTGACGCGCGTCAAGGCCTAACAAAAGGTCCTGCAGCGCGTTTTGAGCAGCAGGCGCAGCGCGTCTGAGCAGCTGAAGCAGCGCGTCGGGCGCGTTTAAGCATCTGACGTGTGTGACACGCCGCAAACGCGCTGCTGCTCGAGATGGAAAAATTGTACTTTTGTTGCTTGACGCGCCGCGTCAACCAATCAGAGACGCTGATCTGGGAGCTGGCAGGGAGACAGAAACATCTCTGATGACACAGAGCGCTGTGATCACTCCTCTGAAACAGTTTGATGCATAAATTAACTAAAAATGCATACATCTGCCGGCAGAATATGTTCGCTTTTATTATCCTGCTGCCTGCAGTTTGGATTATTTAGATGAAAAACACCTACCAGCTGCCGCGGTGAACCGCAAAGAGGAGACCCGGCCAGAGGCTGCTGTTGAAGGGATTCCTACTGTCAGCGCACCGCCGGTATGTGGGGGTCTGAGCGGCTCCGACAGAAATAATATTGGAAGGCGGGATGATAATCTGGATGAACTGACTGCACTGATTAAGTTTCCAGGTGGATTTTCTCACTTAAAAAACATATTAAAACTACTTTATTCCCACTGATCACAGCAAATATAGCTGCAAGGCAGAGAAAGGATAGTGAAGCTCCGCCCAACGCCCGTCAGACACACTTTTGCACCGTGCAGCCAGACCAGCAAAGCTGCTTCAGCCGCACATCAGAACTAACTGGTACAAGCAGTAAAAATGAAGCAGCAGACGTGATTTTGCTGCTCTTGCTGCGTCCGGTGTGAACGTAGCATCATACTCAGCTCTGTAGGTGTTAAAGCAACATTTTTTTTTTATGTGTACATTGCAAATGAACTAAACAGTTTCCTCACCAAGAGACTAATGCGTTTGTGGGTGTTTTCAAGCCCGACAACAAAGGAATCTTCATCTGAGCCATCCCTGTACAGTGTGTCATAAACATGAAGGTAGAATCGTCTTTAGGAGCTCCAAACAGATAAAAAGCTTCTCAGAATGGAAACGGTTTGACTGACGCAGCAATGAACTACTTCTGCATGGTCAACAACCACAGAGGAACGTTTAGTTCTTGGGGAAGAACCATACATATGACATTAACAAACTTAGCGTGCACCATGTCGGAGCACAAGTGATGGAGAAATAACCAGACGAGGCTAAAACATCGTTTGGGGAACGGATTCTGACCACCCAGTAAAATGCTTTCTGGCCTGGTAGCTAAGCCAGAGGTTGCTGCTAAGTTAAAACGTTCCATTTCTTTTTACTTTCCTATCTCCATCAAATGTACAACCAGGCAAAAAAAAATAAAAAATCCTGAACATTAAATACTAGGTGCTTAAGTAGAAGGAGAGTTCTTGACTTATTAACATCCTTTGCTTATATTTTAGTCTACTTGGGTTATTCAGAAGTCATGTTTCTAAAAGTTGGGAGACCCTTTAAACATGGGCAAAAAATATAATAAATAACTTATTTCAATGTATATTTTTGTATTAGTTTGTTTATCGTTTATGATTTTCTTTGCAGGACGTTTTACACTTTCAAGTGTTTTTCCTTTTGTCTGCATATAACATGTGCCTCCTTAGCAGAGAGTGTCTGCTAAATTTCACATGATGACAGAAAAGATTATTGATTCTGTTTTGCATTTGAAGTGTGTTTAAAATAAATCATTCTCATTTCCGTTTTCCCTTTTACCGCGGCGCATATGAACTTTTAGAAACCATACTCTGTATGATCAACTTACTTTATAAACTTGTTAAATTTGTTATCATTGGACATTTGGGGGACTGTCTGTTAATTTTCTTTGAACAGTGCAAACTTAAATGTTTTATATTTAACATTGGGTTTCCTTGTCTCTTAAAATGTGGTCTTTGCATGCTTTTCCTCTACACTCCTGTTTTACTTTTGACATTTGTTCAAGTTGTTTGACTCTTCATCCTATCCTCCTACCCAACATTTCAGCCTTATTTTTCCACATTTGTTCATCACTCCTTTCCTCCCCTCTCATCCCTCATTAGCTCTTAAACCTTTTTTCCTCAGCATCCACTCCATCTTCTTCTCCTTCCTCTTCTTCACCCTTCCCTTTCTCTTCCATGGCCCCGTGGCAGCAGACAATAGCTCCATTGTAACCCGTTCGCTCTCCTCCATAGCCTTCTTCCTCCTCTTTTTTTTCCCCCTCTCTAGATCTATTTATTTTCACATCCCCGGTTGAGGGAGTTGTAACGATGGCTGAATACAGAGAGTTGGAGCTAATTTGGAACAGAGCACACCACAACAGACATGCTGTCTGAGAGAACGGGAGGAAGAGGTTGGAAAAGAAGGCAGAAACACATGAGATGTGGAGGGGGACAAAGGCAAAGAGGAAGAAGAGGAACTCCACCAGCACTGATTGCACATACACATTTATTGAAAGTTTTCAGGGTTCTGACTGAGCATGTGCGCAATAAGCCCAACATTTGATACAGCAACATAATCCCTGAATCAGTATCAGGTCTGTTGGACCCGTGGGGCTCCCATATCCTCTGGCATAATTAGCGGTTGGGGGGGTTTAGCGGTTAGCTTCCTCGATGGCTGCAAGTGGATTTCAAAGTATGGTCCAAGGACCCCCCCCATCTAAAGGTCAACGTGGGGATGTGGGTTAGCAAAACAAAAGCTTTTGTGCTGCATTTAGGGGCCCAGTGACAGAACGTCAGACATGTTCTAGCTTCAATTTGATCATCTGTTAACCAGCAGATAAGAGAATGTAAACATCATCTGATCCACAGGTGGATAAAACCTTTAAAGCATTGATCATTTTCTCCAACACGTCCATGTAGCTGATTATCAGCTGCAGAGCTCCTTCTATGAGAGGCTGCTTCCCCTTAGGTGCACAAAGGAGCTTTATTGCAGACGCTTCCTCCCAGCAGATGTTGGACATGACAACCAGCAACAGGTGTTTTTACATCCATGCTGTTATTTACACAATTTTTCCTCATTTTTTATACGATTAGTTGTTCTTTTTCTCAGGCACACTCAAACATGCACATTTTGTGGTTTTTCCAGTCAACTAGGTCAGACACTTTATTTAATCCATTTAAGGACTGGATAACACTGTGATGTGAGGTTCAGTAGCACAGACGAGACAAAGCTTTTCCTTATTGAAAAACTCAGAGCCAGATAATCCAGATCCCTACAGCATGTCATATATTGTGACCCATCAGGCACAGAATGTGGTCCAACATTGGTAAAGGGAGAAAACGCACCATCTATTTGATGCGTAGAAGTGAGCAGAGAGGGATTTCACCACTGTCTCTCTAAGAAGGAGCTAAAGATATCAAGACCAACCGGGTGTTGGTCTGCTTGATATCTCCTATATTACATACACACAACTCCTATTATATACACTGTACTTGATCTGTATTATTTTTTGTATTTGTATGTGTATTTTTATGTTGTTTTTTTTTTGCTTAATTTAACTTTTTAACTTAATACTTTTTTGCCCTGTAAGCTGCTGGTAACCTTAATTTCCAGAAGGAGTCTTCCCAAGGGATCAATAAAGTGCTGTCTAAGTTTAAGCCTAAGGTGATCCACACGGATATTCGTCTTCAGTGTGAACACACCTTAAGAGCAGCCCATTTGACAAGGAGAAAAAGAAGAGTGAAAACCCAAAGAATAGAGAGTTTAAAAATGTCCGGCTTTGTAGAGCAGAGAAGAACACCAATGCAGCAGCAAATGAACCAACCTTCTTTTGCCCCCTGAATCTATACTGCTGTGATACAGACCCTAAAACAATCCAATGCAACTGCATGATTTGGTTGAGTTTTTCAGCCTGGTCTAAAAATGTTGGCGAAATATAAACGGGTCAAACAAAGTGAGACTTTTCTAACGTCGTCATCCTCTGTTGGCTTTTCGTGAACAGCCTCTATCTTTATGGCCCAATACCCTTCTTCTAATGTCACCATCACCCCACATGGTTTCTAGTTCATAATGACTAATCTTTTGAATTCAGTAAGGTATAGATGTAAAATTGTGTGGACATTTCATAAGATTCCTTGAAAATGAAACCTAATAAATCCAAATGTGGATTTTGGATCGAAGGGAGGCGTTTTTTCCAGTCGTACCTATCCAAACAGGAAGGAACCCTCTTCTAATTAACTATCTTTGTTCTGGCAGACTTTTTCTGAAAATGAATAACCAGGATCTAATTATTGGCAGTGGAAAAACTGAAGACTAAAGCAGGTGTTCTGGGTGTCCTATATCTAGTGTTGTGTGAAGAAGAAGATAGTCTAAGAGAACTCCTAGCATCTATGCTTGGGCTTTAAAAAAGCCAAGCAGGACCAGGAGCCAGCAAGTTTCTGGGTTAATACTGGTCCTTTACTGACATCTAGAGGACGTCTGCATACAACCAACGAAGATGGTTGCATCCGTTTTCACAAAGACCCGGACTTATTATCGATAAGGCTGGATTATTTTAAGCAAGCCTTTCAACGCTGAAACAGATCCTTCATTAGAATCTTAAAGGAATAGTACACCCAAAACATGATTAGCCTTCATTTTCTACTCACCCCCATGCTGAACAACACTCTGGAGTACTTTTTTGATATCTCAAATGCATCTGGAGATCTGGGAGGCTTCTTGCTGTCTGCTGACATTCAAATAATGGAGGTCTATGGCGCCCGAGACAGAAAGGTCCATAAAAGTCCATAAAAACGTGTCAATATTCCTCCATACTGCTCGTCCAATGTATTCCAAGTGTCCTGAGTGGGTAGCGTCCATAATTTACTCGAAACGAAGTCATTTAGAATGTTTTTAGAGCATAAACAGTAGTGTATAGGATTTCCTAATAGCGCCCCCATGCGCGCTCACGGCGCTACGGAAGCCGGCAGACCAAACCAGCGCATTCAGCTCGGCAAAGAACTCATGCTCTTCCTCAACACTGAAGTCCTCAGACATTTTTCTTTCGTTGTTTCTTTCTTTGCACAGGTAAACAGCACATTTCTTCTTCTACGCTTGCATTATCGGCAGAGCAGACGCTGAATGCGCACTTCCTTCCGGTTTGGTCTGCCGGCTTCCGTAGAATCGTGAGCGCGCATGGGGGCGCTATTAGGAAATCCTATACACTACTGTTTAGGCTCTAAAACGTTCTAAATGACTTCGTTTCGAGTAAATTCTGGATGCTACCCACTCAGGACACTTGGATTACATTGGACGAGCAGTATGGAGGAATATTGACACGTTTTTGTGGACTTTTGTGGACCTTTCTGTCTCGGGCACAATAGACCTCCATTATTTGAATGTCAGCAGACAGCAAGAAGCCTCCCAGATCTCCAGATGCATTTGAGATATCAAAAAAGTACTCCAGAGTGTTGTTCAGCATGGGGGTGAGTAGAAAATGAAGGCTAATCATGTTTTGGGTGTACTATTCCTTTAAGATCAATAGCAAACAGAAGAAAAAAAGGAAACTACCAGCAAATCATTAGACCCATCAAGATCTGTTTGTTTTCAGATCTGCCCTGTTAAGAGATGAACAAACCAGAATTCATGTTTGACTCAGAAATGGAAAGAAAATCAATCAGGAATGACTCAAAGAAGCAATTAAATCTCAACTTTTCATTATAAAAATTTTTATTCTGGTCCTGTTTCAAAAGAATTTTAGGATTCATGTTCTGTATATTTTATCTTTCTATTCTGTTCAAGTCAATAAAGGGCCATCTAGGAACCTGCACTTAAATTAGTAAAGGTATTTGAGGTTAAACTGGACTCTGCATCACACTTGCAACATTATTCGCACCACCAATGGGGCTGAAACCTTTATAATCCTTTTAAATAGGACAGAACTAAATATTCCAACTGTATTTTGCAAAATAAATATGGTGCATTTTGAACATAATTTACTTTGCAGTGCACTGAACCTTTCCATATCAATGCCCTTTTGCACCATAATATTTTTAAAGTGGTTTTCCTTTCCTTCTACACTTTATATTCTGATCCCTTTATAAGGATAATGTTCATTTTATTGTAATAAACCGTAAGCAACGTAATTTTGTTTTTTATTAACTCTGTGTACACAAAATGACAAGTAAGTTTGTCCAAGTCTAATGTCCAGTATTTGTTATATTTAAGTCTGGTGTCTATGAAAATACAAAAATTAAGTAAAATTGTAGATTAATCCACTTTGGGAAAGTCTTAAGGGACAATTTCTAAAGACTATCAGTTCAACAGTGTTACTTGGATGGAGTCAGAAGAAGTTCATTTCATCTCTCTATAATGGCTCCCAATTATAGAGAATTATAGAGAAATAAAATATTTAAAACCGGGAGTTGAAGAACCGACTCATGGTTTTAAATATGGTATCATAACAAATGCCCTCGTTGGAAGCTTTAGCAGGTTTTACAAAGAATTGCTGAGTTGTATTTTCCCCACAAAATTACATAAAAATAAACAATTATATATTTTTAGATTTTTCTTTTCTAGCCATTAGCTTGAAAAGTTTATTTTATTCTTTTACATAATTTCCCGCAAATATTAACATCCCATTTTCCATCACGCATATCCCAAGCGGGTCGCGAGGGGTGCTGGTGCCTATCTCCAGCTGTCTACGTGCGAGGGCGGGGTACGCCCTGAACAGGTCGCAGTCCGTCGCAGGGCAACACAGAGACAAACAGGACAAACAACCATTAACACACTCACACCTGAGGAGAATTAAGAGAAGCATTAACCTAAAAGTCATGTTTTTGGACTTTGAGGGTTTACTAAAGGCAGATCATCACTAATAAAGTAATTCTGATCAGCGTCTTTTAAATGTTCAAATCAAAAGGTATAAATCTCTAGAAGGAAGCAGCTTCTCTTTATTCTCCTCACTCCCTCTCATGCTGGTCTTCCTTCACATTTCAGTCCTGTTCTGTGGAATACCAAGAAAATAAACAACGGGCCTTAACTTGATCTCTGGATACCAGAGAACACAGAACTGTTCAAACAGACGATCCAATACAACTCTTGGCCTTGAGAAAGACCAGAACAATGAAGTAAGTGGTGAAAAGCTGAAGCGGTGCCCGGTGTTAGATCAACGAGCCTCTGCGACTCCTGCAGAGCCGACATGTTTGTTTACTGGCAGCAGAACCGCAGTGGAAAACACAAACACTCTCACAGACAGAGAGACTGATTCTGATTAGCACACAGCCTGGGGCTGGAAGGCAGACAAACCACTAACACTACAGAGGCATTATTAAAACTCATCAGCTGTGATACCGATGCATACAGTCATCGGCAAAGAGAAGAAAAAAACAAAGATTCCTGAGAGCAACAGAAACCCTGCCAGGAAACCTACATGATCACAATCAGAGGGTCAGAGGTCAAAGCTCCTCCACCGTCTCTGATTATCTTAACAAGCAGAGAAAGTTAAACACAAACAAGAAACAAGCATAATATATATTAATAATATTAGGGACGAAAAATTCAAAAAAATGAACTGATCCAATAAACAACAGGAAATAAAGCAAATACATTTGGAAAATAAAGAAAATACTGTTTTATATCTGCAACAGTCTGAAGTAATAAAAAAATTTTTTCCTCTTTAAAAAAAAACTATCATAAATATATAATCATGTTAGTTTATGTCATTTGAAGTCATAGGGAAGAAGCTGTTCAATGGTTGCAGTTCCAAATTCTCCCGAGTGGTGCCCGAATTTACACGGATAAATAAAGTGAATGTGATTGGTTGATTATTAAGGGGGCGGGATTGTTGTGGCGGAGTTTTTGAAAGCACGTTTGGATGTGGCCGGTGTCTCGGAAGCATCTTGCTAACCAGTTAGCAACTTAGTGCAAGTAGCACTAAGCAACGACACTGTCAAGGAACGCTATGGACAGTGGAAACATGTAAGAGGAGGAGAGTTTTGTGCCGCAGGTTGTGGATGAGTCTCCTCCATCATACATTTTTTATTAAAGGCACACTATGCAACTTTTTTCAGTTAATTAATGTGTTCCATAACGTTTTGGATGATTAAATGAGTCATTTCAGGTTGAACAAAGGTATTCTCGGCCGCCCTGGTGGTCTGTGGGGGAAATACTGCACTTGCATTTGCAGGAGCCCTCGACCCGCACCCACAGGCTCAGAAGTCTCGCGAGAGTCGGTCTTGCTTTACGGCGAGAACTGCTACACGCCCCTAGTTAAAAGCATGCTCGTTGCTAGCACAGTGGCGATCTTTGTGCAGTTATCATGGCGGAACCAGCGTGAAAACAGCGAAAGCCCATGTCGGAGCAGGCAGGAAAGAGGAAAAGGGCTCCGGACAGAGAGAGGAGTCGTACATGGGTGAATATCGGGCAAGCTTTTTCCCGAATGGCGAGAGCTAAAATAAAAAGAAGGCTGCAAGGCTGACGCCGACCTCGCGTTTCTGCTGATGCGATTGTAAGTAACATTGGAATGGTTTTTCTCTCTCTGTGTGCATGTTCATACTTTCACTGTGTTAGTCATTCGTTGCGTTAGCCTGTCTGCTAAGCTCAAAACAACCGCGCCTGGCTTGACGGAGAAACCAGGAGAACAGCTGTGCATATTTACGACAGTGCACTTTTACTTTCGCCCTCTAGGGGGAGCCTCGCTGGAAAATCAACACCGGTTGCATAGTATACCTTTAAGAGGAGGAAAGCGGGGATGAAGATGTTGTGGAAGAGGACGCCAGGGCGGCAGAAGCTTGGTTTGGTGTAGAAGGCTTACAGCCGTACATGTTTGAGCCCTTGCCTCGCAATGCTGCCAGTTCTGTTAGCTCTACGCCTGCTGAAGACACAGACGTCCATCCCTGTGAACACTGGGACGGACTAAATCATAAAGCAAAGTATTCTTATTTCAACCGTTGCGTATATTAGCTGCGACATATGAATTAAGATGCTATGACCAAAAAAAAATTTGATTGACAGATGACGTTTGATATACGATCGGCCGAATTTAGGTGTACAAGCTGAAGTATAACTAACTGGCCTGCATAAGATAACGAAAAAAACCACAGATTTTAAGACAAGATTTTATTTAAAAGATAAATTTTTGAACTTTTGGGACAATATGGTCTGATAAAGAGTACATTTATATGCATGTTTAAGCCAGAATGATTTGACATTTAAATATGATTTCACTACGACTTTCAAAATGTTTTTTGTCTTGACCCAAGATGAATCAGAAAGTTAATCAGGAGAAACCCCTCTACATTTTATAGTGGCCCAGTGAATTTGCATACATGTCCCAAGGATGCTACTGAAGGAAGATCTACACCAACACTGTGGAACAACGGTTCAGACTCTAAACAATGGAAATCATTGGGGGAGTGGGAGTCATTTGGGCTAAAGCCTTCGCTATCCATTTTCTGTGATTACAGTTAATAAAAGCCACTAGTTCTTTATTAGCATCAGGGTAAAACAGACTATTTTGACCATTTCTAAAAAAAAAAACATATATAAACAAATGTTTATATATATGTAGGAAACGTCACATTCTGTTTATTCTACACCTTTAACACACAAACAGCAACATAAGTATTGGTCCACTGGAGATATTCAAGCTTACAAACTACCTCGTTGCATCTCTAGTTGCTGCAGGACAGATGTTTCAGTTTGCAACACTAACATCTGCATCCACAATGCTGCACCGATTCCTCAATCAATCCACATCCGATCAAATGAGCTTTAAGGCCAATAGAAGTAAGACTACATCTGAGAAACCAAACAAGTCTCTGGTGAAATGTTCTGTTTTAGTAAATGGCTTAAGGAGGAAAAAGTCGCCTCAGTTTTATACGTTTTAATTGCATTAAATGTTGCATGTTGGACAGTAAATGTCGAGCTCTAAAAAGCAATGATTTATGCAGATACCTGTCGCAGTTCTGTCATTAGACATAAAACTTTAATGTCCATTTACACCTAATATTAAATTCCTTTTTTATAGTTTTTTGCAACAAATATATATATATTTTTACCATTTTCAACTAAAGGAATTGCAATATAAATACTAAATGAATGTTAATCTATTCTTCACACTTTTGTTTTATACAAATCATTTTAAAGAAGATTTCGTAAAACATGAATGGTTTCTTAACAATGATTCTAAATTATTACTACTTTCAACCAATCTGATTAATAAATAACCTAAATAATGGATTGCGGAATATAAACATTTGTGTTTCTGTACTTATATGATTGTTTCTTCCATAAATTAGGTGCAAGGGTTTTTTTTTTTACTGAAAAGGATTATTTTGTGAATTTTTGGTTTTCAATTAACCCCCATCAATTAAATACAGATCCTGGAATTAACTAGATAAAATGCTCTTATAAAGCCCCTCTAAGGGTGAACAATAGGTCTACGTCTGACTTCATAAAAGCTGCTGTTTATTCCCGTTGTACTGATTGTAGTGTACTGAAATGCTGACTGTGTGTGATGTGAATTCAGGCAGTTTAATCGCTGCGTACCTGTCTGATGGCCGTCTCTCCAATCTTGTCCGAGTGTTTGCGGATGCTTTCCAGGAAGTCTCTGAGCTGCGTCATGGCGGTGTCCCGGATGTGCGTCCTCAGTTTGGGGATGTTCTCTGCCATGATGGAGCAGAACCGGTACTGACCGGCTCTAGGAAGACACGTGTGTTCCAGCTGCTCTAAAGTCCGTAAAGCAGGATAGTACCTGCAGCAACCAAATAAAAGAAAACAACTTATATTGTACTTTTCCTGGGTTAGCCTGATGTGAAGCAGGGAGTTTTGCTGTATATCCCCTAGGTGTCCACACCATCTAATAAACCTGATTTCTTGTTAATGCAATATGATTAAACTAATAGCATCTTAGCACACAGAAATAAACACAATCCAATTCACCTCAGAGGGAATCAACATCACATTCAACCAAAACACTGTGAAACACCGAACATCTGTGAAACACTCACAGCAGGCCGCCTCCTGCCCGTTCTCCCTGAAAACAGCAGCCATGAGACGAAAAGAGGAAAAACAAAAACATACGACCGGTTTATGATCAACATGACTGTTCAACAGGTCAGACCTGGAAAAAAACATTTCCCCCCTCTCTCTGTACAGCCTATTGGCGCCATCTAATGGCTAAAAGAAATAACGCACTTGGCTGCTGAAACACTCCACGTTTAACTTTGATTATTCAGTGTACTTCGTTCAAATTGCATTGCATGTTGTAAAGTTCTCACCATCTATAATGAGAAAATAAGTATTTGACATGACTGTCGATCTCCCTCAGGCTGCAGCTCCATGTAAGATGTCACCATTAGGTCTCAATGATCTTAAATGTGAGAATCAGCCAAGAACTACACAGAGATGGTCCTACAAAAAGAGCTGGAACCACCGTTTCCACGGTTACTGTTGGTAATACACTAAAGGATGATTTATGCCTGCGTGAGTTTCGTAGTTAACGCAGATATGCCCCCGCCCCTTCCACAGACACTCTGGTGCTTAGGGCTGGGCGATATAGAAAAAAAGCTTATCGATAAAAAAAAAATGCATATTGATCGATATCGATAATTATTGAAAAGATTTGAAACCATATTTTATGTGCAGCTCTGCCTGGACTTTTATAATATTGCTAAATGATTTAATTTTAATAAAAAACACAAACACAGACTTCGAATTAAATCTTTATTTAACCAACTTTTTTAACCATAACAGAATTGTTTTAAAGAAAAATAACTTAAGAGACCTGAGTTATGTTATTAAATACTGACAAAGAATAAACTAAAGTGACCAAAATAAATATAACAAATAAAAAAATGCCCCCCCACCGCCGCCGCCGCCCCCGTTTCCTGCTTTAACCTGAGTTATTACTTTGAAGTTTCTGGCCCCTCAGCATTTTTATCTCAATTGTTAGAACTACGTGGGAAACTGCCCAGAACTGAAAATATATATATATTTTCCGAAGATTCCTCGGAGGAGAGCCACGTCGGGGCCTACACAGCTCGTACTCCTGCGGGTGTGAGCGGCTGAGAGAGACGATATAAAAAAATAAAAAATAAAAAAAAAGTTGGTTGCGTTATCAGACTTCGTTTTCACTGGTTTCCTACACATTTTCCAGATGACTGTGGTTTGTTTTTGGTCCGACTTGCCATGACCGAAATACTGCCAGACTGCCGAACTACAAAAACCCTTTTTTGGAACAATTTCCTCCGCCTCTCCTTGCTGCATCTTCATGTGCTCTGTGTTGTGGTTTGAGAGGGCGGCGCTTTGTGACGGCGTGCCTGGGTCCGCGATTGTGATTGGTTGGGAGGAAGCAGTGACTAGCATAAACCTACATGCTAGGCTACAATGAGAAGGAAGGAAAACTGCGTTTCTTTTTTATCGACCCTCTTTTTTTCTATTGCGCCACACGTCTATCGATCGATATACACTATATTGCCAAAAGTATTTGCTCACCCATCCAAATTATTGGAATCAGGTGTTCCAATCACTTCCATGGCCACAGGTGTATAAATTCAAGCACCTAGGCATGCAGACTGTTTTTACAAACATTTGTGAAAGAATGGGTCGCTCTCAGGAGCTCAGTGAATTCCAGCGTGGAACTGTGATAGGATGCCACCTGTGCAACAAATCCAGTCGTGAAATTTCCTCGCTCCTAAATATTCCACAGTCAACTGTCAGCTGTATTATAAGAAAATGGAAGTGTTTGGGAACGACAGCAACTCAGCCACGAAGTGGTAGGCCACGTAAACTGACGGAGCGGGGTCAGCGGATGCTGACGCGCATAGTGCGAAGAGGTCGCCAACTTTCTGCAGAGTCAATCACTACAGACCTCCAAACTTCATGTGGCCTTCAGATTAGCTCAAGAACAGTGCGCAGAGAGCTTCATGGAATGGGTTTCCATGGTTGAGCAGCTGCATCCAAGCCATACATCACCAAGTGCAATGCAAAGCGTCGGATGCGGTGGTGTAAAGCACGCCGCCACTGGACTCTAGAGCAGTGGAGACGCGTTCTCTGGAGTGACGAATGGCGCTTCTCCATCTGGCAATCTGATGGACGGGTCTGGGTTTGGCGGTTGCCAGGAGAACGGTACTTGTCTGACTGCATTGTGCCAAGTGTAAAGTTTGGTGGAGGGGGGATTATGGTGTGGGGTTGTTTTTCAGGAGCTGGGCTTGGCCCCTTAGTTCCAGTGAAAGGAACTCTGAATGCTTCAGCATACCAAGACATTTTGGACAATTCCATGCTCCCAACTTTGTGGGAACAGTTTGGAGCTGGCCCCTTCCTCTTCCAACATGACTGTGCACCAGTGCACAAAGCAAGGTCCATAAAGACATGGATGACAGAGTCTGGTGTGGATGAACTTGACTGGCCTGCACAGAGTCCTGACCTCAACCCGATAGAACACCTTTGGGATGAATTAGAGCGGAGACTGAGAGCCAGGCCTTCTCGTCCAACATCAGTGTGCGACCTCACAAATGCGCTTCTGGAAGAATGGTCAAAAATTCCCATAAACACACTCCTAAACCTTGTGGACAGCCTTCCCAGAAGAGTTGAAGCTGTTCTAGCTGCAAAGGGTGGACCGACGTCATATTGAACCCTATGGATTAGGAACGGGATGTCACTTAAGCTCATATGTGAGTCAAGGCAGGTGAGCAAATACTTTTGGCAATATAGTGTATATCGTTATTGAATTATCGCCCAGCCCTACTGGTGCTCCTCTCCAAAATTGTAGGTGACCGCAGATAGTGCCGCAGACAGGAGGCCTCTGATTGGGCAAATCTAGATCTGCTCTGCACTATGCATATCTCCTGTTTGGTACCTTATTGGCTTTTTTTGTTTGTATGACCGCCATTGTGGAAAACGACACTTGAAGATGGACCAGCTAGAAGAGCGAGGTGCATAAGAACACTGACACCCTTTTTCCACCTGGATCCCCGCTCTTTTTCGTCCTCATGTCCCCCCGTTGTCACACAAACTTGCCCCCACTTCCTCACCGTCTCGGCCGTATCTAGACCCACAGCTAGTTCGTGATTGTCCCTCTTGCGTTGGGCCGTGGAATGGCATAGCGCAAACCAGGCTTCAATATTGGGCCTAAATCAAAAACGTCTGCGTCAAGCTCACTGCAAAACACTGCTGCGGGAGGATAACCAGCCTTTAATACATTGTGGTTTGAAATGATACATGGCACGGAAGGTCCCCTTGCTTGAACCAGCACATGTTAAGGTCAAGTTTGCCAATGACCATTTGGATGATCCAAAAGAGTCATGGTAGAAAGTCATGTGGTCAGATGAGACCAAAATAGAACTGTTTGGTCATAATTCCACTAACCGTGTTTGGAGGAAGAAGATTGATGAGTACCATCCCAAGAACAGCATCCCTACTGTGAAGCATGGGGGTGGTAGCATCATGTTTTGGGGGTGTTTTCTGTACATGGGACAGGGCTACTGCCCTGTATTAAGGAGAGGATGACCAGGGCCATGCATTGAGAGATTTTTGGAACAACCTCCTTCCCTCAGTTAGAGCATTGAAGATGGGACGAGGCGGGGTCTGCAAACATGACAATGAATTGAAGCACACAGCCAGGATAACTAAGGAGGGGCTCTGTAAGAAACATATCAAGGTCCTGGCGTGGCCTAGCCAGTCTCCAGACCTAAACCCAACAGAGAATCTGAGTGACAGCCCAGAAACCTGACTGGTCTAGAAAAAATCTGTGTAGAGGAGTGGGCCAAAATCCCTCCTACAGTGTGTGCTAACCTGGTGAAAATCTGTGGAAATGTTTGACATCTGGAAATGCAAACAGAGGCTACTGTAGCAAATATTAACAGGTGTTCAAATACTTTTTTGCAGCTGTATCACAGAAATAAATAGTTAAACAAATCAAATATTGTGATTTCTGGATTAATTTTTTGTTTTTTATTTGTCTCTCACAGTGGACATGCACCTACGATGACAATTTCAGACCCCTCCATGATTTCTAAGTGGGAGGGAGAACTTGCAAAATAGAAGGGTGTTCAAACACTTATTTTCCTCACTAGTTGGTTAGAATAACAGGCTGCTCCAACATCAACCTCTTAGATTTCGAATCAAACCCTCTTTAATACATTCCGACAGACTAGAGTACCAGAGCTCATGTACTTTGTTGAATTTGTAAAACACGCTGAACTGGATAACAAGTCCATATTATAAATCCCTCTACATCCCTCTGATATATTTTATCTTCAACCATCTCTTTTACCTTTCTCAGGTGATGTCTTGGATAAAAAAATAAAATCCCACCAGTTCAAACTGGTACATAAGTTTTAAATTATCAACATTTCCATCTGCCACATTTTCACTGCGTGTTTTAAATACTTTTTACTGTCGATAAAATTCATAATCATGCTCAGTTTTAATTGTTATTATTCTTATTTTGATTTTTAATTGACTTTATCCTTATATTTTCACACCATTTTAAATCTTTTATTTCATCCTGTAAACAGGACGATGATAATGTTGCCATGTCCGTTTCAGGTCTCAATCAAAAAAGCTTCTCACAGACGTACCTTTTGGCCTTCATCTGCTCCTGTAATCGGCCGTACATTTCCAGAACTGAAGAAGCCAGAAAGAGACAACAAAGCTTCAGTAATTTGGTTATTTCTTTAAATGTCAAGTGTGTTACAATTCAATTTTCTTTATCATAGAGTATAATAACAAGAGGAGGGATCTTTGATAGCGCTGCTTAGTGCACCTAAGGTGCAGCCGTCTGTTTCCAGCTCATCATTAACCTCAAGCATGAAGAGATCATCCTACAGTCATGCCTATACAGACTGGATCTAAAAAGACTTAAAGAACCCAAATGCTTCTTTAAAATCTCACCACATGTAGGGTCTTTTGTATTCCGATCCAAATACGTCTCCTATGTATTCAAACTAAACATGAAGCCTTGCTCACACTCACCAGGCTTACACTTTGTTGTTATCTCGTGGACTGTTAACCAGAATCAGTTGGTTAAACCTGAGCAATTCCTAAAATACCGGCTAGAGACACCTGGATCAGTTCCAGCATGGATCCTGACCCACTGTGTTCTGCGTTACCTGGCAGGCAGTGGGTCAGCTTGTCAATGGTGGTAGCGATGTTCATCTGCTGCACTCGGCACTGTTTCAGCTCCTCCATCGAACAGACGAGCTGAAAGGAGAAGGAACAGAGTTAGAGGGCTTCACTATTCATCCTTTTTTTAAATTAGAAACCCACACTTACCCCTTTGCCTTCCTCCTGGAGACGTATGTTGGTTTCAATGACCTGACTCTGAAAGATAAGAGCAGGTTAAAGCTGTCCTCTCCGGTGTTTCTTGATAAACCTCGCCTGCTTGTTCTTTCTCACCTTCAGCTTCTGGGCCTCTCCTCGAACTTTGAGCAGCTCCGTGATGGAGTCCACAAAACCCTGGAAGTGGTGGTTGCACATCTTCTCAATCTCTCTGTCATGGTTCCTGATCCGGGCGTCGAGCTTCTCCATGAAGAGGCCATGTTCCTGACCATCGTACACCGACCTGGGAAGAATCAGACCAAATTCAGCTCCAGACTCAAACTGTTAAAGTCAAACTAGAATAAAACCAAAACAATTAGGAGAAAATTGAGGAAAATTATAAAAACTAAAGGTGAAGGACAAACATCTGGTATTAAACTAAATGTCTATTTAAATTAGATAAAAGGTTAAGTATATGAAACAAGTCCATGGTTTTCAACTCTCTGAAGTGTGAGTTTCACCATTTTACATCTGCATTCTGGCTACTTTACTAAGTATAAAGTAGGGCTGAAACAATTAATCAGATTACTCAATTATTAAAATAATTCTCAGCTAATAAAGTAATCAATTAACCGTTAATTTGCCTATAGCTGACAGAGCGACCTACTTAAAGCAGTATTTATACTAAGATTGTAAGAAAATATATCAACATTTTACATTTAAGACATGCTTTATTGAGAACTCCTTAAGTGGAAAAGTTTCACCTTGTTTAATTTCTTCAAGTCTTCTTTAAGCAATCTTGAGCTATCCGCTTATTAATGGAATTATCAAAAAATTATAGACCGATTATTCGATTTGCAAAATAATTGTTAGTTGCAGCTCTAGTTTAAGCAAATAACCAGCTGCAATACCCATACATGTCAGCTAGGGGGCAGTGTGGGCTCATTAATACCACTTTGTACAACCCCACAGCTCAGACAGGTGGAGATATTCAAGGGGATCTGACAGTTCTTACTGATAATTCATGGTTTTTCCTTCAGCTTTGGTGAACAAAATGATCAAATCAAAGGTCAGCTGTTGCATTCATCTGAAAACTAGCGTCCATAAGCCTTTTGGTGGAGATAAACTTATGGATTTATTAGACTTATAACACTCTACCAGTCATCTTTAAAGGAGGGTTTTATTTCCACAAACTATTTTTAACGACTGCTCTAAACCCCAATATCTGTTTACATACAGAGTATTTTACTGACCAATTGTAAACATGAGAAACTAGAGAAATACCAGGATCTCAGAGAAGAGCTGGTAGTTCAAGGCATCAGTGGTACCCGTGGTGCTACTCCAGGCAGTGACCCCAAAAGAAAAAAAGGGGGGAAGACCACCCGCGATGGGTGAGTTATTATTCTAATTTAGGCTTCCAGTAAGTTTTATTTTGAAGATAAAACCCCATCCAGATCCAGCTCTAGCTTAGGCCATTAAGGAATATTTGAGAAGTTTTGGTTAAACTGTTCAATGAGACATGATGAGGCTTTTATTTTGAAATTGATTTGTAAGCTTTATTTCTCAAAAAAAAAAAAAAAGGAAATGTATTAAGAAAGAGGAACTCCACTTTTATATAACAATTCTAAGCACTAATACAGCTTCTATCTAAAAAAATATATATCTATAAGCCTTGATAAAAATAAAAAATACAACAAAGCACAAAAATGACAACATAATGCCCCTTTATGCCCATCAGAATCTACTTTTGTGATGATCTAGATGTTTTCCCCTCAGCATGTGCTTCATATCAGAGTCAGTCAGTCATACATCTGTGGCCGTTATTATTATTTCACTACAGCTGCGCTGGTTTCAATGCACTGTTATTGCACAATAGTGGGAAAATCACCACATGCTGGTATGTTAGTTACAAAGTAGAGCAACGTGGACTATTGTCTCCATGCCAGCAATGAGCTGTCTGCACAAAGGCCTGTTTTGCAGTAAAAGGAGAGAAGAGCCAGGGGAAAAAATAAAGAAAATATCAATGGACATAAAAATGTATTCTCTTTCTAAGCCTCACAAGAGAGATTAGCTTTATTTGATAGCATAGCTATGATGAAGGTTTCCATTTAAAATAAAAAATAATTTAAAAGAAATCACACTACAAACTGGAACCCTCCTTAAATATTTTTTCTGGATTTAATGCAGAGTTTTTGTTTTTTTTAGGTGAATATTCATTTCTTTGAAATGGAAACTGTATTTTGTTTCACATGTTTTGAATAAATTTGTTTTTAATCTCACTTTATGGTGTATAGTAGAGTATAACAAGCAAACCTTTAACTCACTGAAAGACTTTGTGATTATAATTGAAAACAAATGATCGAACTCCTTTCAAAGGAAAGCTGTTATTTTGAACAATTAAAATATATACTTTTCATTTGTACTCTGAAAACAATAGAACACGTAGCCTAGTTTTGAAAAACAATGACAAAATGATTTTAATCATTTTAATTTATAGCTCCTTCCAGTTCTCAAGCTATTATTCTGAAAGGTATCTTTGGAAAACCCATCTCTCTTATTGAGCCCTAATTTTATAAGATCTACAGGTTAGCATTTTTACTAAAATAATTTTAAAATCCAAAACAGGAAACATTCCAGCTCCAAGATTAGGTGGTTATTTTTCCCTCAGCCTGTCACCCATCCCCCAGTCCTCATATCTACATCTTTAAGCTGTGATAATGTTCCCTGATAAAAACAGAAAAACAGACGCTGCCACAACCTGTAAAGCCAGATGTTTTAGTCCCATTTAAAATTATCGTTTAAAACAGTCTTGGGAGCTTTAAACTCACTGCCTCGTTCAGTCACCTTAATGACCAAGTGCTTGTTTAAATATGAAAACTTATTCTGATGCATATTTAACCAACTTAGAGGCAACTGATTTAAATGAATCCAAAGTCCTACAGAGATCATTGATCTGCAGCACTCAGAGCTGATAACTTCTTTTCCTTTTTCTTGCAAGTGTTGCCTTCAAATAACCCCAAAATAATCCACTGAGATAACAAGCTCCTTCTTTATAGGGTCACATAGGGTAAGGAGAGTTTTTGGTCTTATTTCCTAAAATTGTTCACTGTGCCGTCAGGAAACCAGCAGAAGTTGCAGTAGTTTTCCACAAGTCTAGTTATTTTCTTTCCTTTGTAGCATCCAATAAGATCAGTTGTATGACTGGAAGAGACTTTGGGAGGTTAAAAGGTAAAAGAAAATAAAAAATGGTTTGATATAAAATATTTTTGGGTGTTTGATAAAGTAATAAAACTCAGATACAGATGTAGAATATGTCAAAAGTAAAGAAAGTTAGCAGAAAATACTTTAATTTTAGAGATAAAAAGGTTCTTCCTGTGTTTTTTCCTTTGCTAATATGACACACACACACACACACACACACACACACACCTGTGTGCAGCTCCAACTCCCCTCCTCAGCCTTCCTGATGCTGACCGGGAAATGCCCGACTTGTACAATAGAGAGCAGCTCTGACGCCACAGCGAGTCTTTCTTTAGACACAAACAAACACAGGAGCCACCAGTGGGATGACCTCACGGACGTGGGGGGGAGGTTTGTTAAAGTCAAGACGTAAAACAACCTCGTTTCTAGTTTGCTTCAGACAGTTCATGATCTTAAAGGCAAGATCCTTTCAAGAAATATTGACTTATCCAGAAAGCGTTTGAAACTGTGCCAATAGTTCAGAGATTGGACTCTGATTGCAACCAGATATGCAGCCTGGCATTATTAAACTGCTGGACTCAGCAGGGACCATGGAGCAGCTCTGTCAGTGTCAAACCGCAACAGATCCACATTTACTTTGAGTGTCCTAAAGGTGCATTTTGTAAACTGAACAGTAAATTACAGGCGTAACTTTCTGATGGACTGGTGTGGACGTGTCCCCACCAATAATTTCAATACATAGACTTTGGCTCTCAGCAATAGGTTGGACAAATTTCTAAATTAGATTTTGCTGCTTTTGAAGGAGGATAATCAATGATGTAGCTGAAAGGGAAAATATCCATCAATCAACTGGAGATGGATGGATGAAACTGAAATTGTGTCCATATGCATGATATATTGCTGATGGGATTGGAATCTGCTGTTATTAATCCTTTTTTTTTATATACATTAATGTCTAACTACTCATAAATATAAATATCAGTGTGTTTTGGTTCTTTTGTGTACTCAACAATAGGAAAGCGTTCAATAAATAGATGTTTGAGCTCAATTTTGGAAAATACAAACCCTTTTGAAAGCGTTTGTATGGTAGGTCCATCAGCCTCCACCCTTAAGGACAGATTAGACTTCTGCATCTGCACACATCAAATGTCGCTTGGGTCTGGTCGCTTCTCCACTGGGTCTGGAATTTCTAGGGGCACACAGCAGTTTCCCGCCAAAGCGCAAAGGGGAGTCTATTGGAGAACGCGCCAAGACTTTGGCGGATGGTCAAGAGAACTTCGGCGGGGACGGTGTTTATCTTCCAAATCAACAATGGCGCGTCTGCAAGATATCACGTTCAAGGAGATGGATCTAGAGTTGCTAGACATCAAAGAGGAACGGGGTCTGTTAATGGAGTGGGCAAAAAACAAAGGCGACGCGTAGGTTGTCCATTGTAGTTTTTCCTCGAATCGAGAAGGACAACCACACATCCAGAAAGGCATACCAAGGACCAATCACAGCTGCTTTTTGTCTGCGGACTCCCGCTTGAGATCTGCGCAGGTTTGCAACCAACCGACCCACAGTCAGGATTAATTTTGAGGTGCGCAACAACGGTTGCAGGACCTCTGCGCGGTGGCGTGGTCGCACTCAGAGACAGATTTGATGGTTGCAGAGGCATCAGAAGCATAGACACCAACTTTCATCACAAAGTTACACCCATGCACTACATGATGAATGCATGTTTTCATTTGCTGCAGAAAAATGTAAACTGCACCACTGATAACTAAAAGGAAAATTCAAATATATAAGAAACAGATTCTTAAAAAACAAAGGTTTTATTATAAGAAAACTAATATAACTTATAAGTTGTTAAATATGCACATAAATTAAAAGACACCTACCATTTTAGCTCATCAAAATATCTTGTACAAAAAATTTAAGGAGAAAATTAAAAAAATGAAAATATAGCTTCATATATGGAATCCCATTTGCAGAAATGTACATTTTTCCAATACAAGTTGCAACATTGTTATAGGAGATTATATTTAAGTGGTTTGCAGGCGAATTCTGCAGCATATCAACAAATACATAGAGCTAAATTAGGGCCACAAGTTTGAATAAAAG